AAACCTAAACGTTAAATCTATCATCTTTTCTTAGATTAAGGACTTGCCCGAAACGCTGCCCGTATTAGTGGCTTTACAAGATTGTAAATACCATATTATGTATCCTCACAATCCCAATGTACCTTCTTGTATATGCATAAATAAATAAATAAATAAATAAATAAATAAATAAATAAATAAATAAATAAATAAATAAATAAATAAATCTTATCTACTCCTGCAGTCATATGACGAGATTAGCGAAAATAAACGCAGTTGTTAATTAAATATGGTTGGAGTCTTGTGTTGTGTTGAAGGTTACAAGGAGTGTTTAGGTGCGCCCTTGGCAGGAACCAATTGTTGGGGGGGAGGAGGCTTCCAAGCGTGAATATTTGAAATTCCTAGAGTTAGTGTATTGTTGGCGGGTAACTGTTCACGCACGCACGTGGCCCTCCACACGCGCGAGCATGTATACACGCACAGGGGTGTGCTCGCCTAGTTGTGCTTGTGGGAGTTGAGCTCTGGCTCTTTGGTCCCGCCTCTCAACTGTTAATCAACTGGTGTACAGATTCCTGAGCCTATTGGGCTCTTATCATATCTACACTTGAAAAGTATTCACCTAGTTGTGCTTGCGGGGGTTGAGCTCTGGCTCTTTGCTCCCGCCTCTCAACTGTCAATCAACAGGTGTACAGGTTCCTGAGCCTACTGGGCTGTCATATCTATACTTGAAACGTACTCACCTAGTTGTACTCACTTAGTTGTAGACTGTTCTTGTCTCGTATACACACACACATACTTGGAGGAACTAGCAGAAGACGGGACATAGTGACTCCAGTCACCCCAGTCCCGTGTACAGTCTTGTTCCACAGTGTTGTTCTACAGTGTAGGATAAGAGTGTGAGTCAGGTGTGGCTGGGGTCGGCGAGCAAGAGGTGACCAACATGATGTGGGGCGTAAGGTGGCCAGACCGCACGCCGCTCTGGAATTTACTCCTTCAATGTTACCATGTCTGCTGCTGCTGCTGCTGCGTCGCCGGCGTCAACCGCTGCTGCTCTTGCGTCGTCGGCGTCAACTGCTGCTCCTGCGTCGACGGTGTCAGCTGCTGCTCCTGCGTCGCCGGCGTCAACCGCTGCTGCTCTTGCGTCGTCGGCGTCAACTGCTGCTCCTGCGTCGACGGTGTCAGCTGCTGCTCCTGCGTCGCCGGCGTCAGCTGCTGCTCTTGCGTCGCCGGCGTCAGCTGCTGCTCTTGCGTCGCCGGCGTCAGCTGCTGCTGCTCTTGCGTCGCCGGCGTCAGCTGCTGCTGCTCTTGCATCGCCGGCGTCAGCCGCTGCTGCTCTTGCGTCGCCGGCGTCAGCCGCTGCTCTTGCGTCGACGGCGTCAGCTGTTGCTCTTGCGTCGACGGCGTCAGCTGTTGCTCTTGCGTCGACGGCGTCAGCTGTTGCTCTTGCGTCGACGGCGTCAGCTGTTGCTCTTGCGTCGCCGGCGTCAGCCGCTGCTCTTGCGTCGACGGCGTCAGCTGTTGCTCTTGCATCGACGGCGTAAGCTGCTGCTGCTCTTGCGTCGCCGGCGTCAGCCGCTGCTCTTGCGTCGACGGCGTCAGCTGTTGCTCTTGCATCGACGGCGTCAGCTGCTGCTCTTGCATCGACGGCGTCAGCTGCTGCTCTTGCATCGACGGCGTCAGCCGCTGCTCTTGCGTCGACGGCGTCAGCTGCTGCTCTTGCGTCGACGGCGTCAGCTGCTGCTCTTGCGTCGCCGGCGTTAGCCGCTGCTCTTGCGTCGCCGGCGTCAGCCGCTGCTGCTCTTGCGTCGCCGGCGTCAGCTGCTGCTGTTACCTGTGTTGTCAGCTAATGCTATTAGATCATAGAAGATGTGCTCTTTATGCTCACCATCACTCACTATACCATGATGGTGAAAGATGGGTCTGGTATACTCACCATCACTCACTATACCATGACCATGGAAGATGGGTCTGGTATACTCACCATAACTCACTATACCGTGACCATGGAAGATGGGTCTGGTATACTCACCATCACTCACTATACCATGACCATGGAAGATGGGTCTGGTATACTCACCATCACTCACTATACCATGACCATGAAAGATGGGGCTGGTATACTCACCATCACTCACTATACCATGACCATGAAAGATGGGTCTGGTATACTCACCATCACTCACTATAACATGACCATGGAAGATGGGGCTGGTATACTCACCATCACACCATGCCTGGAAATAGGGTGAGCATAAGGTAAAGGGTGAAGTTGTCGTATAGTGAGAGAGGTCATCGTAGTCTGAGAGGATGGTTCGTATGGCTGTGTAGTGCTGGCTTCACCCACTGCTGTGCTACTGTTGATGTGGCTGATGGTGTGGCTGGTACTGTTGATGTGGCTGATGGTGTGGCTGGTACTGTTGATGTGGCTGATGGTGTGGCTGGTACTGTTGATGTGGCTGATGGTGTGGCTGGTACTGTTGATGTGGCTGATGGTGTGGCTGGTACTGTTGATGTGGCTGATGGTGTGGCTGGTACTGTTGATGTGGCTGATGGTGTGGCTGGTACTGTTGATGTGGCTGATGGTGTGGCTGGTACTGTTGATGTGGCTGATGGTGTTGATGAGACTGCTCCTCTTGATGTAGCTAATGCTCTTGATGTGGCTGTTGATATAGCTAATGCAGTTGATGTAGCTGATGCTATTGATGTAGCTGAATCTCTGAAGTACCAAATCTACACAGAAAAATAACAACGTACTGGAGTGAACGATATGGAAGAAAATGTAGAATAGAACCAGTGAAGAGCAGAGGTGCCATAGGCACAATCAGAGAACACTGTATAAACATCAGAGGTCCGCGGTTGTTCAACGTCCTACCAGCAAGCATAAGAAATATTGCCGGAACAACCGTGGACATTTTCAAGAGGAAACTAGATTTATTCCTCCAAGGAGTGCCGGACCAACCGGGCTGTGGTGGGTATGTGGGCCTGCGGGCCGCTCCAAGCAACAGCCTAGTGGACCAAACTCTCACAAGTCAAGCCTGGCCTCGGGCCGGGCTTGGGGAGTAGATGAACTCCCAGAACCCCATCAACCAGGTAACCAGGTATCTTGATGCAGCTGATGCTATTGCTGTAGCTGAATCTCTTGATGCAGCTGATGCTCCTGATGTGGCTGATGTTGCTGTAGCCGATGCTCTTGATGTGAATGATGCTCCTGATGTGGGTGAATGTGCGTATGCTGCTGCAGTCGGTGCTGGCAATGTTGTGGCTGCTGCTGAGAATTGAGCTGCTACTGCTGTGATTGATGTTGCTGCTGGTGGTGGTGGTGGTAATAGTGATGTAGATGGGAATAAGAGTAATGCAGGAGGGGTTGTAAGGTGTTATGAGGACGTTGGGAATCGTTGGGGCAGACCTCACCCGGTAGGTGAGGGTGGTAGGTAGGGCGCTGACAGCTAGGTGCACAGCGCTTCGGATTCGTAGTCCTGAGGTTCTGGGTTCGATCCCTGGTGGAGGCGGAGACAGATGGGCAAAAAGTATCTTTCGCCCTGATGCCCCTGTTAACCTAGCAGTAAATAGGTACCTGGGAGTTAGACAGCTGCTACGGGCTGCTTCCTGGGGCGTTTGTAACAAAAAGGAGGCTTGGTCGAGGACCGGCCCGCGGGGACGCTAAGCCCCGAAATCACCTCAAGATAACCTCGAAGATAACCACCTGCACGGTACTCATTACCCTCTTAAGTATTCACATTTACCTTTTTGATATTGATTTAGAAGTTAATATTGATTAGTTTTATGATAAAAAATAATACATGTTGAGAATAATGCATTCAATGGGAGATTTTTAGTAGTGTTGCAAGAAAGTTTTGCATGGTAGTGTTTTTTGTGGCTATAGAGTAAATTTCTGAGCTCTGATATGTGACAGTGAATGTGACATGCTCAAGAGCATAACACTATTGTTAAAGTGTGTGTGTGTGTCTCTGGAAGCTCAAATTGTTACTGTACGAGCTGTAGCAGGTGAGAGAGTAGACTCCTTGAGACAGGAGGGTGTAGTCGTCGCTGCCTCCTCCTTCTCCTCTCACACTACACAGCCAACACCAGTGCTCTTAACTGCCCTCAACTACTGTATCATCTGAATCCTGCTTCTCCAGCAAAATGTCACAATGTGTTGTGTACCTTGAGAAAAGGGGACCCTCGTCTTCTCTAAGTGTTATAATGGGCTGTGTGATCCAAGTTGGTGTGATGGTGGCAGCGTGATGACGCTTCCCCACAGTCCACACCTTCGCCACGCCCAACACCGACAGAGCAGCTTGGGCAGGCGTGTCCTACCAGACATCATAAATGTGGTGAAAGCAGATGATCAGCCTGCCACATCCTGCCTATTGCATACTCCCACACAATTGCTTACCAACCCCACCCATGCCAACCATGCCCCACATCCATGCCATCATGCCCACTCAACACTGCAGAGTGCCCCTTGGGCAACCATGGAGGCCCCTCAGGATAAAGGAAATATGAGGAGTGGGTCAGGTCAAACCAGGGCAGGGTGGGGTAGACGGGGCCAGGGCAGAGCAGGACAAGGCAGGCCAGGACAAGGCAGGCCAGGACAAGGCAGGCCAGGCCAGGCCAAAGAAGGCCTTGGTAGGGGCAGGGACGGCATGGCAGAGAGTGGTGAAGAGGAACATCGCTTCTGTTGTACAGTGGCGCGGATGAGACTTGTCATACACCTTCAGACCCTGCTTCGAGGTACTACTATTGCTCTTCCTCACGCTGCTTTGATATATTGCTCATGCACTCGCTCCCACATTTCCCCAGAGCATTCCGAGGTACTGTATTGTTGATATAAATGTTCATACATATCATTCATGTTCATACATATCACTCAGCTTTCATACATCTTTCAATTATTGCAAGGTTGTGTGATACACTCACCTCATGTCTCAATCTTGCATCATTGTGTACATGGTTGCACCTCAACATACAATAGTACACTTTATACATAATTCATACTGTATATTTGTTATTATTTCTAGAACAATTTGAGGCTCTTCAAGACGAGTTGGAGCGAAGACGAGAGGAATGTATCCAGCTGCGAACAGTGCTGGCCAACCGTGCCCATGATCTGCGTTCCCTCACCCAGACGTCCTATGGCAAAGATGTTGATATAGTCAATGAGGATGGGGAACTAGCGTTAGCTTACCAAACACAAAAGCAGATTAACAGGTAAGTTAATTACCGGTGTGAATTACCGGCAAGAATTTTATTGGATAGATTGAATAGCTAAATTTTTGCCAAAAGTTAAGAATTATTGCAAAGATTACATTTGCCTCAAATGTTCAAATTTAAAATTAGATCCTTATTTTCTACACAAAAACTCCAACATTATTAACTTATCCATTATCCTTAATTCCACATTGCAAAATTTGACAATTCAAAGATATTATTTTAGGAATCTAAGAACCCGTAGGAAAGTACCGAGTGAAAAGCATTAACCACACCTGAAGGTTGTTGCCGCTGATGAGTAGCTGCAACATGTGCACACCTACACATTCTAAGGGTTTGGTGCTGCAGGGAGTGAGGTGTGTCAGTGCTGCAGGGTGGTCAGGGTGTGTGGTGCTGCAGAGCGGACAGGGTGTGGCGGTGCTGCAGGACAGGGAGGGTGGGGTGTGGCGGTGCTGCAGGACAGGGAGGGTGGGGTGTGGCAGTGCTGCAGGGGGGGCGAATTGATATATCGTACCACTGCTAGCCATTTGTTTACAGTTTGTTAAAATTAAATATGAAATACAGCAATGTTTTTCAGCTTTCCACTTGTCACATTTCCAGCAGAATGACAAAGAAAGAAGTGCCTCACAGTATCCATGGCATTGCTTGTTAATACTCTTTTGAAAATTGAAAGAGTACTTGGAGAATAGAAGATTTAATTTTCACTCTTTTTTATTGCCATTTTTAAACTAAATGCTTACTTTTGTCTCATGTTATGTGTGTGTGTGGTAGAGGGTGCTGTAGCAGATAAAGCTAGTTGGGGTTGTGAGTACGACATGAAAAGTCACCATCTGTTGACATTAAGAAAGTAATATTGTATGTGGAAAGTTTAAGAGTGTGACTGAAAGTGGCTGCAGTTGTATAATATCTTTGAGTGAAGAGAAACAACCATCAATAAGGAAGGATTTGTTGGTAACACATGTTAGTTCCACAGTCACTCAGTTCTACACCACCTCTACCCACTGCCCATGGTAGACCAGACTGTACTTTGACCTCTGACCCACTTGTCAGTCATCATAAATTATAATATTGAAATTAAACTGAAGAGAAGTTTTAAAAGTTTATAAATTTTATCAGATTACAGTTCTTTATAAATTCAACCTGCTTTTAAATCAAATCAAGATTAATAAGTTAATTATTGGTACCACCATCACTAGAGAATTGGTATGTTATTCTCCCTTGTTCCAATGTGACCCAAGGAAGGATGGGTTTGTCAGTGTGAAAAATTTCCCACTGTTTTGGTGCAAAATGTTGTCCTGCCCTGAATGGACTATATACTTGCCAGAGTTGAGTAGAGCCATGCCTTAGGAGAAAGCAACTTGGTGTACTGCTCATAGAGTGCTCTTCATACATGGTATATTCAACATCTGATCATTCTTTTCTTGCAATGTGGGCATATGCAATACTCTGCTGTATGGTCAGTGTTTATCCACGGCCGCCACGTATACCAGCTCGGTAATCCTTGTAGTTCTAATACAGTACATTCCTTGTTGGACAGCTGTCGTGTTTACCATTTATCTTCCTTACTTTAGCTGGGAGTTTTGTGCTGGGGATGACATATTCCAGGATGGTCCTTGCTTATATACTGTATTCTGAAGGCCACATATTCTAGATGTATGTTGGGATGAGAGGAATGTTCAAACATGTAAAAATGAAATAAATATGCTCAAGACTGTTAGGTTATTGATGATGCAAAGTTAGACTTCAGGCTGTTCATTATTCCTAATGAATGAGCTATTATGTAGTCAATCATGAAGTCGTGCACAAAATGACCTGCTCAACATTACCCAACAAAGTCCTGTTCACTAAATGTTGTTTTCATTAACACACAACTCACCTGTGCCCCCAAACACTGCGTCTGGATGTGCCCCCCAACACTCTGCAGACGGTAAGAAATAACCTTGAGTAGTAGTCTCCACATTTATCATATACTGGAGAGTTATGTATATGTATAAATGTGTATGTAATATTATATATATGTATATATATAGTGTGTGTGTATGTATGTATAAAGAGTCATACCTAATAGCCAGTGTTCCCTAATAGGTCAGATTTTCTTAAATATTAAAATTGAAAACGATTATCTTGTGTAATATGAAGTTCATTGTAATATACACGAGTGATTTTTTATCAAGTCAAAACTAAGAACAAGAAACCTGATATAACCTAATTACTGTATGCCAATTTTTTCTCAATGCTGCTTTACATGGAAAAATTGCCTAACTAGGCTAAAAACTCATGTTGTCAAAATGATACAGTATGTTAATATGAAGTATAAATTAATTTTAAAAGAAATGTTTGAAAATATGCAAAACTTCTGTTAGGCAAATTGAGTGGCACTAAAGAGGGTGAGGAATGAGTACATTAGAATCTGGAGAGCAGCAAAGCAACAGTTTGAAAATTACATTGTAGCAAAAGCAAATGCCAACCTAAGCTATTGCACAGCCATATACGGAGAAAACAACATTGAGATCATGTGATCAGACTGCAGGGACAGGGAGGACCACTTGGAGAATGACAAAGAAGTGTGTGTGAAGAACTCAACAAAAGTTCTTTGAGGTCTACAAACTGGAACCAGATTGGTGTCCAAATAGGAAAATAGGAGTGACTGCAGACGACCAGAAACAACACGAGACAGAATTGAAGTTAATGTAGAAGAGGTAAAAATTAAACTTGGAGGAAATGGCTGTAACAAAAGCAGAAAGACCAAGCTAGATATCACAATGGTTACTGAAAGAAGCTGCAGGGATTTTGCATTACCCATTAACTACAGTGTTCACCATTACACTAGAGACGGAGAGCTACTGGATATCGGGAAAAAGGCAAATGTAGTTCCAATATTCAAGAAAGGAGGTAGACATGAAGCACTAAACTACAGACCTGCATTATTAACATGCATTTCATGCAAGATTCACAGGGAAAGTCATCAGAAAAGGGATTGTAGAGTAAATTTTATAACAATAACAATAAGGCTTCAGATAAGTAAAATCATACTTAACAAACTTGAGTGAATTCTATGACAGGATCACCAAAATATGACAACAGAAGGAAGGAAGGACATGTAAACTGCATCTTGCTATATTGCCAAAAAGCTTTTGATGCAATTCCTCATGAAAGACCAATAAACAAGATGGAGAGACAATCAGGGCTAACAGGAAAGCCACTGGAGTGGGTATGAGAGTACAGTACTTGATGAACAGGAAACAACAGGTCATAGTCAGAGAGGAGTGGAAAGTGGTGTTTCACAGTTCTCTGTCCTAGGGCCATTGCTCTTTTCAATTTATGTAAATAGCTCGCAAAAGAAGTGAGTTCATACATGACAGTGTTTGCAGATGATGCAAAGTTAATGAGAGTAAGAACTGAAGAGGACTATAGGGTGTTGCAAGAAGACCTTGATGAACATCAGGAGTGGGTAGATATATGGCTGCTGGAGTTCAGTCCAAATAAGTGTTAAGTAATGAAAATGGGTAAGGGAGACAGGAGATCTGTATTTAACTACTGTACACCATGAGGGGAAGACAGTTTATAACAATAAGGGAAAAAGACCTGGGAGTAGACATATTCCCAACAACACCAGAAGCTGATGTGAACAAGATAACATCAGCAGCGTATGGGAAGTTAGCAAACATAAGAACGTCATTCAAAAATCTTATCAAGGAGGCCTTCAAGGCCATTCAGTACACATTTCTTAAGTGAGATCATTACTTGAGTATGCAGAACCAGCATGGAAACCCACACTTTTTGAAGCTTAACAGAAACTTGAGAAAGTTCAAAGGTTTGTAACTAGATTAGTTCCAGAAATGAGAAGGCTCAGCTATGTGGACAAGTTAAAGGAACTTTACAACCTTAAAGGAGAGAAGTAATAGAGGGAATATGATCACTTCATGCAAGATTCTGAGGGAAATAGGCTTCCTATCTACTTTGTCTATTTAAATTAACAAGAGGCAAAACAAGCTGGACATGCAGTAGAGTCGACGAGATGTAAAGGTCCTGTTCCCTGTACAGGTGGTCAGCAAGTGGAATGCATTAAAGGAAGAGGTTGTTAAAGCCAATTCCAACCATAACTTTAAGAAAAATGTCATGAAAATTTGAATGTTGAGAGAGCTAGTCAATACATTGGGTATAGGCAGCAAGAGTCAGGGCATAGAGGTAGAGTAATATTTCATATACATGCTGGGAGGTTACTGAACCACCAGCCAAGGCCTAGTGCGTATCTATCATACTGGGAGTGAAAGTAGAATTCTCCAAGGAAAAACTGAATAGTTTTCTGCAAAATGTGTCACACCAACCAGGCTGTAGTGGATGTGTGGGCCACTTGAAGTGGCCTTTATTATTATATTTACTCTTCTTGGAGTACAAAAACTCCCAGAACCTGATCCAGGTACAATCCAGGTAATCCAGATAGTAGTGCAGCTCTGGCTAATATGTATGACATATAATACAATATAATATATTCACACAGTATACCAAATATGTAATATAATATACGGTACTTATTAGTTTGTCCTGGAATATCAATGTTAACATTGACAAAATACAGTGGACAGCATGGAAATTAACACGTCACTCACAGCCGAGTTTATACTGCAGTTCAGTATTTGTGTTGATAAACTGTAGACTTTGACTAGGGAACTTTTACATGTGTGAGACAGCATGTTCTCTCTTACCCTACTGAACACCGTCAGTGTGTGTGCGTACTTCTTGGTGCTCGTGTCTGTACAAAGGGTTATAGTTCATCTGAGATTTTCTTACTGTGTGTGTGTTTTGAGTAGCTATAGAATGTCACACTTAAAGCTTGTAGAAAATAGTAGTTGCATCATGAATATTTTTATATGAGTGTTGAGTGTACTATATCATGATGCGCACTAACCTGCATTATGACGTACCTGTTTTATGTTATCCATAGCTGATGTTGACATTGTAAGTACAGTATTGTGGGGATATAGACTTGGTAACATTACTCTCTAGCTACATAGCATTATATAATGTACATGTTGCGGCATAAAGTATGTAGTGACCAATACACTGACATGTGTTGGTCAAAATTGTTCATGTTTTGCAATGTATCCTGCTTTATTTTTGGCATAGACTTGTTAGAATAATATTTTAATGGTGCTTCTGCTTCTGCACTCAAGATTTCTCAGGAATATATATTATGTTCCTGAGGGGAACTTAATGTGATTATGGCCTTGTTAAATTGTACATTTATATTTTTATTAAGTGCAGACTGAGCAACTGTTAGTTTTTTTTTTTTTTTTTAACATGCGTTGTTTAAATTTATTTGTTGTGCAGCATATTGAATAACACATGTTTAACATTGAAATTAGGCCCAGTTAGTCCAGTAGCTGCTCATTAGTTATTAGGGAAACATGAACTATCATGTTCATCATTTATGTTAAACATTTCATCCCAATGCTTCTTCAGACAATTAGAGGAGGAACTCAAAACAGAAAAGTTACGACATCGTGAAACAGAAACAGAGTACAAAAGCGAGTTGGAGCGACTGCGCCGGGACAATGAGCGCCAGCAGAAATTGTTATCGCAGAATCTATCCAAGGGTGAAGGTTTCAACCCCGAGGCACTTCTGCAGTCAGAGATTATGCGCCTCACCTCTGAGAATCTTGTAAGTGTCATTATACTTAACATGAAGTTTTGTACCCGAGGGCTTATCTGTGATGTGTAGTTAATGCACGAGTAGTGTGTAATTACCTTAGTGTAATTACCTAAGTGTAGTTACAGGATGAGAGCAACGCTCGTGGTGTCCTGTTTTCCCAACACTGTCATATAATGCTTTGAAACTACTGACGGTCTTGGCCTCTACCACCTTCTTACCTAATTTGTTAACTTAACAAGTTAACAACTTAAGTTTATTAAGTTAATTAACAACTTAATAGGTTAAGTTAAGTGTTAACTTGTTAACACCTAACTTGTGTGTGTGTGTGTGTAATTTATGGTCAACACTCACTCATTATAGAATATTAGTACTATCTAGTTACAGCATTGTTTAGTTACAAGTATTTCTTCTTTATTTCACTTATTACTCAATTAGTAAATATTTTGTTCACTATTACTAATAAGGCTGAACACCTTAGAGGGCAATTGCCCACATTAGTGGGAGTAGAAATGATGGCATTTGAGAATGTCATGCAGTTACTATTATCAATAGTCTAGTGAGCTTAAGGATAACATTATCCTCTCTCAGCAAACAATTTGTGGTTAGATCTTGTAGAACTAAATTTAAATTTTTTAGAAATATCCTTGCAATAGTCAAGACTTTGTTTAATGGTAGGTATAATATTTACTCATTGTACTGTGTACCATCCAAGGGTTTCAGAGTCACAAGCTGCTTCCAGTATCCATTACCATGACCTCTAAACTTCTTAGTGTAGAGATATAAATAAGTATACAGTTGTCATCAACTTTAAGATGTACAGTACTGTAGTGACTCTTAGTTTATGCTGTTGGTCCTTTAACACATTCCCTTGCCCTCAGGTGTCTGTTAAACTTAGGCCGCTCCAGCACCACCAGGTGATTTCTAATACTGTACATTGATTAAAACTCTGCTTGCGGATTTCTTTTTATAACATGTAGCAGTTCAGCATTTGCCAAGCCAATCTTGTTCAGATTTTGCCTCTACCCAAAACATCTTGGTTAATTTATTTGGCCTCCATGCGTCCTTCCATTTATTTTCTGCCTTGCTGCCACATTCTGGAGACAAAAATGATGCCTTGCCTCTTAATTATAAGTACAGCATCTCTCGGCCTCACTGACCATTCTTAATTGAAAGAAAGTATTCTAAAATACTTTCTAAGAAATACTTTCTTAGAAACATTCTGAAAGAGAGTAACTGTTTTATAATATGGAACATTCTGAAAGACAAGATTAGCATTCACACTAGGCCATATTATGCTTAAGAAAATAGAAATCATGGTGAAAGTTACATTCTTTCTGTGTTTGCTCAGGAAAAGGGCATTTAAAAAAAAGTCTTGTAAATTGTTTTTTGTGCTGTGTTGTGCCCTGCTTGGATCAGTATTGATACCCAGTTCTCAGTCTTGTTTATTGATTGGCTTACTGCTACCTTATATATCAAGTTTTTTTTGTCTACTGCTTCCAGTTTTGGTTTTTCAAAAAGATACTGTGTAAGAGTTAAGATATTAAACATTTATCATAGAGCCTTGGCAGTGGTGCAGAGGACAGGACAATTGTCAAGTATATATAAGTCCATAAACTTCACACTGGCAATGATGTATGATACTAAAGAATTTTTTCTTGCATACCCAACAGAATCTTCAGGGCCAGGTAGACAGTCTGACTGAGCAACTTAAGAAGTACAAGCGCTCGCTAAGAGCTTATGCCAAAAAGCTCAAAGAGGCTGGTGGTGAGTACTTAACTTTTTCAGTTAAGCTTGTGCACTTTATCATTTCTGTTCACAAAATCTTTAGCAATAGATTAGCACAACAAGTCTCCAGATGTCATTTTAATTCTTTCAGATGATGAAAATACCAGTACAGTACTTTCCGACACACTCCACTAGTTATACTAAATATGAGGGAAGCAATGGTAGCTTCCCGAGCTGTTACTTGGGATCTATTAATAGTAGTTATCTACTATTAATAGTAGATAACACATGTGCTATGTATTGCCCAGGCAGGTGGTTAGTTGAGGGGAATCATGCTTGGGGTAACTCATTCTGTTGAAGGTAATTAAAAAATGTATTATTAAAAGTTACTGAGGTAAGAAAATTATTATAGGTGATGGGAAGATCAACAGGTCAGTACAGATAGCAGTATGGTGGCAGACATCCTTAATGATACAGAGATAAACAAGATTTCATGAATTCTAGATAAATTTTGTTGTTCATGGTGAAAAAAAAGGTTTTGTTGTTTGTTACATGTCTTCTGTTGTCATATTTATTTCAATTGTGCCACGAGTTTGTAGTATTATAATAATAATAATAATAATAATAATAATAATAATAATAATAGTAGTTTCAATTCTCAGGGAACAGGAATCCTGTGTATATATTGTGTATATATATATACACAGGTACTGTACCTTAGGGGTTGTATGAAGGTCCTCCCTAGGTTGAACTACTGATCCTTCCCAGGATGCAACCTCTCAACAGTTGCCTAACTCTTGGCTACCTTTTTACTGCTAGGAGAACAGAGGCATTAGCTGAAAGGAATCCCGTTTAACCTGTGATCCCCCATTGTAAGTCAAGGACGCAACCAGCTGTACTAGGAGAATATAATGATAAGTGTTACTACGAGGTCTTGAGAAAGCAATTACCAGGTGGTGAGTGAGCAGTAAAGGTTGAGAGCAGAGCAAGAGCAACAAGGTCTAGCAGCTGATGGCTCTACACCTCCACTTAGCATCCCTGATGGCTCTGGTCACTAGTGCTGCAGAGAAGATCCATCATTTGGCATGTAAAATAGATGTTATTGAGCCAGACCACTCTCCCACCCTGCTGTCTTCCTTAAGAATTCTGGTATGTCTTCAAATATTATAAATAATAAAACAGAAACCCTCCTCAATGCAGATGCTTTCAAGGACCGGGATGTAACCCCACAACAGTTGCCTAATTCATGGGTACCCATTTACTACTAGGTAAACGAAGGCATTAGGTGAAAGGAAATCTGCCCAACCACCTCTGCCCCACCTGGGAACTAAACCCTGTATCACTGATTGTAAGTCAATAATGAAGCCAATTTACTACAAGACCCTCTTTGCTGATTAAATATGTATGTGGAATGAAGCAAAACATAAAAATAATTATGATATATTAATTTATATTATTAATAATATTTATATATACAAGAGTTCTTACATTCTTGTAAAGCCACTAGCTCACACAGTGTTTTGGGCTGGTTCGTAATCCTAATTTTTTCCCCTGGAATAAGTTATACCAGTGCTTATATATGTATTTGTAATTACCTAAGTGTATAATTACCTCATACAATACACTAATTAGTGTTACACTTCATTTAACATAATTACACACACCTCCCAATTACTGATGATAATCTCTTTGTCCATGAGTAGCTATTTCCTAGGTGTATTTACTCTGTGGTTTTTCGTCACTCTTTTCTGACCTTTGTGTTCGTCTGACTTGCTGACCTTGCAGGCTCGGGCAGCAAGCGGTCCTCAGCACAAGGCAGCCCATATGGTAAGCTGCCCGCATGTGCACAGTGGGGATGACCCCACATTCACGTGCATGGGCTCGTGCATGTGTGCTCAAATACATACTTGAATGTCGAAAAGAAAAATATGCAATAATTCCGGTACTAAAGATGTCATCTCTCTGCTTACTAGACTAGTGTTACCGAGTGCCCCCCATGAAGTCAAGTTTACTTTCATTGCAACAAATGTTTAATGGACACAAAATGCTGTAGTCATTATATTATTTATTGGTATTGAGGTACACTATTATAACGCCAGTCTTACTTTTGTGGGATATGGAGGTTATGAGTTTCAGTTCAGAAATAAATATTAGCGCATGATTTTTAATGGTAATCCTACATATAATAAATTTAATAGTACAGTAATGAAATTAAAATAAATTAATATTTATTTATATACACAAAAATTAATAAGACTAAATTTAATTTTAATAATTATGAATTTAATGAACATTTTGATATTGTAATTTAGGAATTTAGCAACTACCATATTAGTTACTATAAGTTAATAAAAATAAATTCTGAATTAAATAATTATTTTAATAATGATGAATGAATTAAAACTCGGTTTCAAATTCCAACACGTCAATAAATGCTTCATTGCAGTTTTAATATTAGATATAACTATTTTAAGAGATGCTGAGTGTGTTAATTTTGCTATAAATGATTGGCAGGTAAAATGCCAAATGCTTAGTGTGTGCACACAGCACTGTAAATAGTTTTACCCTCTAACTGCTGTCATTGTTTACCACACACACATTTACTCAAGTTTTTGAATGTAGAGAGTTCTTGAGCCAAGATCACTTCATTAACATACCATATAGCTATGCATAATACTGTACTGTACTGTACACATAATACTGTTATTTACTGTACACTCACTGCTGTTCTGTAATGTAGACAATACTGTATTGTGCATTTAATATAATGTACTGTACATATAGAGTAATAATGTTGTGTACTGTATATTATATGGTATTGTACTGTACTATAATCATTACATATTTCCCTCATTAGAGTCTTGCTCAGACACGCACCCCCAATAAATATCCACCAATTTCCTGCTTGTGTAAAGACGGGAGATGTTGGCATGTCATTCAATAATATGGTATTATGGTTTGTGTTTTATTCGTGTTCATTTTACTAGTAGTGGAAGCACAGTGTAAGTGTTGCAAAATCCTCATTGCAGAGAGCCAGAAGAAAGATTAACTTCTTGCCTTGACGTACATACAGTAGCCACTTGTCCATTGTTCCATAGCAGTCGGGAACCACCTCAAAGATGATCTTTTTCTTTATCTTTCTTTATCTTTCTCGCTTAGCATTACTTTGTTTTTAGATGTTACTTAAATAAGAGAGCTAATAATAGTGCTAGGTTCTTTACAAGGCTGCTGAAGTGGATTTTGAAAACCCATGGATATAATTGCTTCCATGTTTGACACAGCAAGTAGATTTAGGCTCTGTTGGGATACAGCAATCATACTGTAATTACTATGTTGTATAAGCATGTACCTTATGTAACAATTGCATCATTGTGTGACCTGGCTTGCATAATGCTATATTTTGACGGTACTGTATGTACGTAATGTATGTTAAATTGTCGTCTTGCATGATCACATAGCATAGGCTAATAACCCTGAAAAACGTGAGAGTCCCATATCAATACTTAAGAGGACTTAAAATTAAAATTTTCTAGCATTTAAGATATTAATTGATATTTCAAAACATTTTCTTCCCTTGTGTATTATATTTGTTTATATTTTTACTACTTTTCTGAGCTATAATGTGTGTTTACTTTCTAAAATGTGTCCTTGGCTAGCATCATGATGCAGTCAGCTTGCACAACCACCACAGGGATATTTTCATGTGGTCCCTGCTGTGCCATTATAGGTACCGTGCAAATACTAGTGAATACTCAGTCGAATCAAGAAAGATTACCAGCAGCGGTCAATTCATAATACCTTTAAACCCTTCCGAAACCTTGACATCTGGTCAAGGTTTGACAAGGGAAACCTTGTCAAACCTTTTACATTGCTTTTTATTTCAATAGTGTGGTTTGACTGTTTTATATGTGATTTCTACTTTGATGGTTTGTGTTTTCCAAAGCACTGTAATTGGAACTTATCCTCATTAAACATCATGTTATTTTCGGTGACGTATTGAAAAATTTGATTAACATCAGATTGGAGGTTTGTGGAACTATATTATTTATATAGTTCTAATTGATGGTGAAGGAAATCCCCAATTTATGTGTAACTGTACATGTACAGTACAGTAATAAAATTCAAATTTTTAGGATGTAATCTACATCCTTTCTCAAGGTGTTGTATACAATGTTGAGAACATTGTATGTAGTACCTTGAGACATCAAGTAGTACATCCAAAAATTAGTTTTTTAACACACCTAAACATAAATTGGGTCTTTCCTTCACCTTCATTCAATCACTTCGGCATTGTAGTAAGTTTCTTCATAGTTATAACTGTTTTTCCATAAGTATACTTTATTGTATTAAGTATTACAGTAGTCAAATATAAGGTCAGTACAGTAATTTAAGTATACTAATGCTACTGTGTATAAAGAAGTTTGAATCAGCTTCTAATATTCTGGCATGACATAATCTTAGATTGCTTCCCACACTTTGCCATTACAGATACAGTATTTGATTTCATCTGAAAAGAGATAAAATTCATTGTGAAGTCTGTATACCGGGTAATAATTTTTTCAGTGTAATTTATTACCATGAAATGCCCGGGTGGTCTAAGATCAATATGAACTTTGTCTAAAATGCAAAAATATTTTAAATGTAAAAAATTTCTGATTTTTTGTTTTGTGCCAAATGTTTATTTTTTCATTGTTCCATTAGGTGGTGATCCTCCCGACTTGCTCGATGTGGCTGCCACGAACGAAGGTGAAGTGATGCCAGTCATTCGTAAAAAGGAGCGTGACTACATGGGCATGTTTGAGTATGATCGACGGGAGGAGATGCAGATTATTAGAGTCCTCATTTATGGTATGCACAGGGTGTGGATTTTTTTATTTGTTGAGTATCCAACATCTCTCTGCAACTTTGTATGAAAGGTTGAATTTTTGAGTGTCTCAAAACTGTTTTCTAGAAAGACAATTTGATATATATCATTTATTACATAAAATAAGGACAATTAAGATAAGTGTTAACTTATTTACAGTTCATCTTGCCTTGTTATTGTGCCGAAACTCACATGGATGTTCATTGACTAGATCATTGTGGTTAGAAAGGCTTCATTGAATTATTTGACAATGTTTCATAGCAGAAACTTTATCTCTATAACAGTACAGTACTGAAATACTATTGCCTTACTACAGAATATGGGTATTATTACTAATATTTATATTGTTTTAATTTTTTTATAAGACTTTGGCATGCTGTATTTTACAAGACTGCCTACTCTACGAAACATTTTGTTCCTATATTTGTTTTCTTTGATCAGAGCTGAAGCCGCGTGTGGCTGTGACATTCCTGCCAGGACTTCCAGCCTACATATTGTTCATGTGCATTCGACACACTGATCACATCAACGATGACGAAAAAGTGCGCTCTCTTCTCAACAACATAGTAAATGGTGTGAAGAGGGTTATCAAAAAACGACATGAAGATTTAGATTCTACCGTTCTGTGGCTATCCAATGTCCTTCGACTTTTACACAATCTCAAACAGTATTCGGGCGACAAGGCTTTCCAGGCTGAAAATACTGTTAAACAAAATGAACAGTCTTTGAAGAACTTTGATTTGTCAGAATACCGACAAGTTTTGTCTGACATTGCCGTTTGGATTTATAATGTGAGTGATAATTTACTGTATTTGATTTGCAATTTGTTTAATAAATAGGTGCTTAATAATGTAAAAAAAATTATCTGTAGATTAATGCATTCCTAAAGAATTAGCATTTTAATGTATTTTTAAACTGAATTAGGAAACTAATGATTTAACCCAAAATCTGTATGGCTTTGTAGGGTGTAATAAAACTAATGGAGGAGAAAGTGCAGCCACTGATTGTCCCTTCCATCCTGGAGCACGAGGCCATCGCGGGGCTCTCGGGCAACAAGCCAGGAGGCATGAGAGGTAGGAACATCCTAAAATAAGATGACATTAGCTCTCAACCTTTGGTGTTGTTTGAAACATGCCATTATCTCCAAATCTTTCACTTCCTTTATTTTCAGTATTCAGCGAATCATTTTTCTAAAAGTATGAGAATGAGCAAACTACAAAAAATATTTAGGTACAAAAAAATACAAGTAGGCTTACCCAAAGTGCAGTGCTGTGATAATACTGTAATACAAATGTATATGTTTTGATCACAGAACCAAATTTTATTGTACTTTTAGTTGGTATGGATGAGCAGTGACATGTTCAAACAAAATTCTAATTTGTGTGGTCTTCCTGATGCTGTGGCAATATAGTTTCCCAACATACTACTGGTGTTTTGGGAGGTCTGAGGGGTGCTGGAGTTCCAGGTTGAGGCTGAAGATGTCAAGGAGCAGGGGGTTGCTGGAGTTCTGGAAATGCTGCATTGCAAAATGAATCAGAAGAACTGAAGCATTGTATGCCACATAATTAATGTCCATGTAAAATCTGAAAATGTAATATTACTGTTTATTGCTTTAATCTTTAAGGAATTATAAAAAGTTGTTTCATTACAGATAAACAGCTTTCATTATGTTATTGTCCCAGGTCGAGCCGGCAGTTTGGCACGGGAGCTGGAGTCTCCGGTGGAACCTCAAAAAGCATTAGATCTTCTACTGAAGGAGATGACTCAGTTCTATCGCACACTTGCCATGTTTGGTACTGACCCTGAACTTATAACTCAAGTCTTCAGACAGGTGAGACTGCTAATAGTAGAGAAAATAAATTTACAGAAAGTGTTTTCTTTACTTTCTGTAATCATAAATTTCTGGCTTATTAGTTGGAAACTGAGGACAATTATGTTGCTAGATTGTTTAGCCAAGTATATTACAGTTTTTATTACATTTTAGCTAATTAGCAGTTAGCCTTGAATGTATACAAAATATATTTATTTCAGATATTTTACTTCATCTGTGCGGGATCTCTAAACAACTTGTTGCTCCGCAAAGACATGTGTCACTGGTCGAAAGGTATGCAGATCCGCTATAATCTAAGTCATTTGGAGCAGTGGACACGTGATATGAGACTTCACGAGTCTGGGGTAACAGATACACTCGCTCCCATTATTCAGGCTGCTCAACTTCTTCAAGCTCGCAAGACAGATGATGATGTTCACTCCATATGTGATATGTGTGACAAGCTCTCTGTATCTCAGGTCAGTTGATGTGTGATAAGCTCCACGAGTTTTAGGTCAGAAGTTCATCAAATGGTCAATTATCATGTAGTCAAAAATATGATTTGCAGTGATAGAAAACAGATCCTTTGGATATTTAGTTCTAATACATTTTTAAATTGTCTTAGTTGTTAGCAAGCATTAAGTATGGCGCTGTAAAACGATACCAGGATCACCATTTTGAATTCTCATCTCATATGATGGTTGCTAACTTGTTTTAAGGAAATTATTGTAATGTACATTATTTGGAAAGAAATTATCCCATGTAATTCTAGGAAATAGAGGTATATGTGCAACATATAAATGTAATCATTACTGCATGTGTATTTATATAAGCTTATAACCCCCCTAACAGATCATAAAGATTCTCAATCTGTATACACCTGCTGATGAATTTGAAGAACGGGTTCCCATCACTTTCATTCACAAAATTCAGGCGAAACTTCAAGCACGAGCAGAGGGCGAACAGGCTCAGGTAAATATTCTTTCTCACCTGGAAACATTTGTAGTACTGTATGTTCTTTGGTGTTAGTGAATAGAAACTGTGCATTTATATGCAGTATATGTAACTCATTACAGAAAAGAAATGATGTAATTGCTAGGTTGCTAAGACTAAGAATATGAACAAAAGATGGCCTAGGGAAAATGGAGTACAAAAAGGAAAGGTTCCATGATAGTATAAAAGGAATATTGGGGGCTAGAAGTTTTTTAAGCCAGGGTTGCTTGGAGGATTTCATGTTATGGCCTCGTCCTTGAATGGCAGCTCCTGGGTAAAACTGTGCATCAGGGAAATAATTTGAATGTAAATTCAGTATGCAGTAGTTGGCAACATCTTATGTACCTAATGTATTTAAGCACATGGGTCATATAGGTGAATGGTGACACATGGTGACATATATAACAGAAGAAAGTGAGTTCATTTGTAATAGTTCATATATAGCCATTCTGGCTTAGTGTATGTTGATAACATTGTAAGACTGTGTTTGTACTTGTTGGTATTCATGTATAAAACTGTAACCAACATCCTTGAAATAATTTTATATTTTGGAGTTTAACAAAACATTAAATGGTCCATCAGTGTCTTCAAGCCTGTCACAGTAAAGACAACCGAGTTAATTAAGGATTGCACTGTGGATGTGAATAATTCAATGCATTACTAAATTTTAAAATATTATAAAAATTGTATTTCATTAATTTACAGGCAACTCTGCTAATGAACACCAAGTTTGCTTTCCCGGTTCGCTTCCCCTTCAACCCGTCAAGCATTCACCTAGAGGATGTCGAGTTGCCTGAAGCTCTCCCACTGAGCATGTTAAAGAAAGTTTAATTAAGATAAACAGGTTAGCAGCGGTCCTTTTGTAAGTAGAGCAACTAGTGACAGGGAGCAATAAATTAGTGAGAGCAGAGACTGTGTTATATCTTCAGGAGTTTATCAGTCAGTAGTTCACTCTGTATTATGTGCTGCTAGTGAGCAAATTAACACCACAACAATTTGTGAAGTTAGAAAGTAAGTTGTTGAAGTCTTAGCAGACAAAATGAGTGTTAAACAATTGAAGCTGGCAGGTACCTCATTAATTAATTGATGCAAAGTCACCCATCTCCTGAAATATAAAGTCATAATTAGTTACTATTAATTGTACTGACAGCATGCTGCTTCTTAATGACATGTTTTTAAAACTGAAATGAGTAGATTTGTCATCATAAATGTGTGAAATCCATCATCAGTGTGTTAGTGTGAACATGGTGAGTACAAGATGATTGTTCAGAGACACAAGGTGAATCTACCTGGGTTTCATTTCACTCATTGTACTGTGTTAAGCCTTGGAAGCGAGCAAACATTTGATGACAAAATAAGTTGAATACTATTATAAATGAGTAGAAATCGGTTCCATGCTCATGTTAACTGTAGGGGGGGGCAGCTTTGTCGATATATTTATGAATCGGGGTCATTATGTATAGTTCTTTGAACGAGGGCAGCGTATCAATAAAATAATGAACCGGATAACGTGTACAAGGACCAGTCTCGTTCCTACACAAGGTGCCAGTACTGATTATGTTGATACATGATTATTTACTCTGTTTCCAATATGAAAATTCTTCCATGTGATATTGCTTTATTGCTCTATTTTCCCATGACAGCTATGTAAAGAAGTCTGGTGTCATATAAGGCAGCATCAACAAGGCAACCATATCTAATTACAGTATTGTATATATTTACTGATAAAGCATTTTAATTGGTTCTCTTGTGAAGTTGCAGCTAACTAATTGCATTCCTTTCACATTCCAAAAACCTCTAAATACATATTACTTTAATGTAATATATGGTTCATAGTGTTATTTATTTATTGTATAGATGTTCAGAGTCTAACTTATGGAGAATATAGTTTAGTGTGTAAGGGGGTGCCGTGTGGGTGTTGTGTGGACACCGCGTGAGTTACACGAAGATGCTACATTCTCTTTAGTGTACACAATTTGTTTTTGAAAATATGGCTATGTACAGTATATGAAATTAATTTGTATGACTTGAGCTATTTTAAGATTTTTAGTGATGATACTCAACTGTCCTATCAGCACACTTCATGGTGTCTCTTACCACTAACAGTAAAGAAAGGTATAAATAAATTATACAGTATGTATAATTTTTTATATAAATATTATATACTATATATTGTATTCTATAATATACTTGTATAGTTTATAATATGTATATTATATAATAGTAAATAGTCCATTGACAAGTGACTTGAGTGCTGTATCCTAAGTTAATGTGTTCATCATTTTAGCACCTTTTCATTAAAGTCCATAAAATATGCTTGTCACCTTTTCTTCCCCGTGATGTGTTAACTATCTCATATTATACTCGTGATTTGAAGTCACAAACCAGGAGAGATTATCACAATTCCCATAGAGTAAATTATTATTTAAGTCGTTAGGTTTTGATTGTATCGAATGGGGTAATTTGGCTTTTTCTTACATTCAACTGAAGGCTGAACCATTGGAAATGTTGCATAAATTAACTGTTGAATTATACACTGTTGCAAATGTGAGACTCAACTTTGGATGATATTATTGCAAATGTATTTTGTGGCTAAACCTTAAACCAAACCAAATGTGCTATTGTATGGACATAACTAAATGGTAATTACTGGCTGAAATCTACCGAGTTTGTAATTGAAGGTTTGTAATTATAAAATAAATAATTCTGTATATCAGTTGTTTGTGTTGACAATATTTAGCTTGTTGGCCACATAACTTACATTGTAATTATAATGTTTACGTCAGGAGCCAGGTACAGTACTTGGTTATAGAGCCAGGTACAGTACTTGGTTATAGAGCCAGGTACAGTACTTGGTTATAGAGCCAGGTACAGTACTTGGTTATAGAGTCAGATACAGTACTTGGTTATAGAGCCAGGTACAGTACTTGGTTATAGTGCCAGGTACAGTACTTGGTTATAGTGCCAGGTACAGTACTTGGTTATAGTGCCAGGTACAGTACTTGGTTATAGTGCCAGGTACAGTACTTGGTTACAGTGCCGGGTAGAGTAAAGTGTTGCAAGCTTCAGTGCTACATATCGTGTGTGTGTGCGTGTAGCATTTAGGGGAAATAAGTGCCAGATATTTGTTGACGACCAAAATATGTAAGCTTATAATTACCATGAAGTACATAGTACTATACATAGAGGGTTGGTGGTCACATAGTACTCTACATAGAGGGTTGGTGGTCACATAGTACTCTACATAGAGGGACGGAGGTCACAAGTCCTGTTGGGTTTGAGGAAATTTGACACTTTATTTTGTTTTTGTTTTGCAGAAAAGTTGGGTAAGGCAGTGATAAGCCCTAAACATCAAGCATTTATATATATATTTTTTTTTATAATAATAAAATGGCTATTTACTGTAATTTATTTTTGAACAAGGCTAACCTATTTTTGTTCACTTTTTCCTTCTGTATATTATGATGTATAAATGCCCTTAAAACTATTTATTATTAATGATATTAGATAACAAAATTAAGTGGAAATGATTATTGACAAATTATATTACCAAAAATTCAAGATTTTATTTTTTGTGCCTGAAGAATATATAAATTTCTTAAATGATTATTTAATACTAAACTAATTTTTAAATGCAATATGTGAAGAGTGGTGAAGTGGGTGAGACATTGGTGTACACTGCTGGAAAACAAAGGACAAAGTCCTAGCAGTGCTCTCTTGTAACTGTGCGTTGCCGCCTTATTAATATGTTAATTGGAAACAAATAAATACAGACGAGTTGTATGTGATACATTATTTCCCCTGGTTCACGTAATTATGTAGAAATCTTTATAAATAAGTCTGCAAAAAGAGAGCAGTTAATAAAGTGACTCAATCTTATTTCAGACATGTACACAGTTGTAATTTGTTACACCCTTTAATATCCTGTAACAAAATATATTTCCGCAGAAAAAACTAGATGGACAGTTTACGGTGAGTGACGTACCCCTGCCACAGTCCCAAGTGTACTGTATATATACACAGTACTGTATTCCCGTGCGTAACTTTTTATGACGGTACATTGGCCTTGATAATACTATCACTCTTACCCAATGCTGTATCTAACAATGCTTGTACACACTTCAAATTTTGCTTAGCATTTCGATATTAAAGAGGATCATTATATTACCCATGAAAAGACTAATGAAAGAGGAATGATGAATGGTGTTTATTCTGATGGTTCAAGGCTTTAACTTCATCCACAGCCACTGGTAGCCTGTTGCACCTTTCATATCTCTACTTGTAAGTGTAAACATTTCAGATATATACTACTTTCGCTATTCTAATTTTCTTAAGACATTCTTGAGGTTTTAAAAGGTCACCTTATTTCATGTAAGTACAGTACTTAAGTTTAACTTTAATCACTTAAAAAATTTATCACTGTTCCTAAGACTGCATAAATGTTATGCAAAACTTTACCACACATATATAAAAGAACCAAATAAGTGATGAATATAATTGAGAAAACGAGTACTAGTTAATGTTTGCTGTGGGCCACCAAGCAGGTTGCCCGAGTGCCCTTCATAGCCACGATAAAGGTGTTGCTCTTCTCCTTCCCTCGTGTAACCATACTACTATTGCTGGACAACATACTGTAAGCGCTCACTATTATAGACCTCAGTAACCCACATATTTGGGTAATCTGGACAAAATTGACTCGGAGTGCTTGATTACTTAATTTGGACAGAAATCTGGCCTGTGTAGTTGGGTTACTGAATGACACACAGTAGCCTTTATTTGGGTGAACCTCATTTAACAAATACTTAAACAACAAATATTTACTCACATATATCTTAAAATTATGAAATTATTTCTATAATGTACTGTAATAACACAAAAAAATTGGTGATGGCACATTATTTAACTGTAGAATGCATGGCCCCACTTTTTTACATCCATCAACCTCCAAGACCTTCTCCCACAGGTCATTTCACTATTCCTGCTATTGTTGCTATATGAGTGACTATCTGCTTTTACAGATAAAAGCAGAAAAAAACTGTGGGATGACTGGATGAGGGTGTCAGGAGTGGGTAAGGATGTCGGGAGTAAGTCAGGGTATTGGGAGTGGGTGTAGGGAATGGGCCAGGGTGTTGGGAGTGGGGAGTTGATAGTGGGTGTGGCGGTAAAGAAAGGAAGTGGGAAATGGATGTGGTTGTCGGGAGTGAATGTGGGTGTTGGGTGTGAGTGTGAAAATGCTTCGAGTATGTGGTGTCACTGGGAGGATGACAATGTGAGTGGCGGGTCTCGCTGTACAGCCTCGGTGACTCGGTGACTAATACAGTCGTGGAAAACTGGTACAGGATTATTTTTCAACTAAGGTGGGGAAGTACAATATGGCAAAAGTGTGGGTGGTATGGCAGAGGGAACTAACTTGTGACAATTGCTTATGGCTGTACCCAATATTTGCATTAATTTATTACTTTCAATATTTATAAGTATTAGAGATTTTTTTAACCATTTTAGGCTGTTATATCAACCAATGGCAGGCAAAAAACACGTGGGTTGAGTGGGGAAAGAGGGAAAATTAACAATGTTGAGGCATCTGTGTAGCTTAGACTCTAGCCTATTCAACCAGTCTGGTAATCTGTCTGTCAAGCCTGACTTTATGTAGCTTGGTTTTGGTGGAAGGAAGGAGTGGGAATTGCCATGTACTTCTCCAGTAATTTTAAGGTTGGGTTAGATTAATGTACAGAGTTAGTCCTGCAGTGATCAAGACTGCTGTTAACTACACCAAGTTATAGTTATAGCTACACCAAAGTAAGTTGACACATTATTGTAGTTACATTTTGTTTATATACACAACTGTATAAAGAATATACTTAATAAATATTTAAGGCCAGATGTAGCACAAACAAGGAGCAATGATTTCAAATTTGACAATCCACAAATGCAGGACTGAAAACAGGAAATGCTTTTTCACCCACAGGATTTTGAACCCATGGATCTGCCTACCCACTGAAGCCATAAATGTCAAAACTATTTTTTCAAAATCCAACTGGAAAAAATTATCTGAGTAAATGGGGGACCTTTGACAAGCTGCCAGCTTCCTGTCCTTGTTGAGGCCACTAGTGTGTTAGTGGCCCCTCGGGTAAATTCAGGTAAACCTCAGCACTCGCATACAACATACTGTATAGCCAAAAGTCTCTGAAACTGTTGGCTATGTGTCTGAAAATTTTTGAGAGTATTCTCAAAATCATATATTTTTTTATTTACAGTATTTACAACAATAGGAAGATACATTGGGTTTGTGAGAGTACATAACATTGGTGTTTTTACATTCTTGCAAAGCCACTAACACTCATAGCATTTTGGGCAGGTCCTTAATCTAACAGATAAGGTAAGATTATTAATAGGTACTGTACATTGTAACAAAATTTAAAGATTATTAATAGGTACATCGTAGCAAAATTTGAGTTCAATATAATAACTGTTCCACGATTTATTATGTAAGGAACAGTTCCCTACTCTGCTCAACCTTTCATTATATTACGTATGCACTAAACAATCCCTATCTTACATACGGTATCTGTGCATGGTGTTCAACCACTGCAAATTACCTCAAGCCTATCATCACTCAGCAAAAATCTGCTATTAGAACTATAACAAACTCTGTCTTCAGACAACACACAGCCCTTCTGTTTAAGTCCCGTAACAGGCTAAACATACACTCTCTCCACACATTCTCATGTGCTATCTACATGTACAAAACCTTGTTCCTAAATGCTAATCTTGATCTGAAACTTTTCCTTGATAGGTGTGTTCCGAACCTTAATGGAATCTGACCCATATATCAATCAGGTCAACCCATGTGTTGCGTTTCCAAAAGGGTCGCCCATGTTGGAATCGGTGAACGCCCTAGTAATATTGTTGAAAACATCTTAATAACTTATTAAACCAAAGGTCTTTTTATGTCAGAAGAACGGCAGAAACTGGATCTATATATGAAAACTCTTTCAGGACAAAATTTAAAGTAAAACTAAAGATATTTGTAGTTGTATAAAAGTTGCATTTTTCATCGGTCGTAGAGCCGGAAATCCGCAATATTCATCTCAGAACAATGCTTATTTCACGCAGAATCGTTAATAAACGTAAGATTTTTATACGTCTCAAGAAAGATAGAAACATAATCTTCATTTTAAATGCCTTACCATGGGCATATTTGTATTTAAAGCGAAGATACGTGTATTTTTCTAATCGGCGAGCTCCGATCCCGCACAGATCGAGCAACGGAGTAACTCTCTCAGAACAATGCTTATTTCACGTAAATTCGTTAATAAACGCAAATGTTTTTGTATGTGTTGAGAAAGATAGAAATATAAGCTTCATTTTAAATACTTTACCATAGATATATATAAAGTTCTAATGAAGATACATGTGTTTTAATAATCGCCGAGCTCCGACCCCGCACAGACTGATCGACAGAGCAACTCTCTCTCAGAACAATGCTTATTTCACGTAAATTCATTAATAAACACATATGTTTTATATGTCTCAACAAAGATAGAAATATAAGCTTCATTTTAAATACTTTAACATAGACATATATAAAGCTCAAGTGAAGATACATACGTTTTTATAGTGGCATTCAGTAGCTTGTCGGTCATACATACATAGACACACATCACAAACAATAAACATATTACCGAACATTCTGAGAGATAAACATATACATTTCCTCCATTACACAAGTAAGCCACACCAAGGTAAGGCAAGGCAAGGCCGGCCAAGAGAGGGGAGCATAACAATACAGAACAAGAGAAAACGAGCATTGTTGGGTTGACGCGGCGCGGGAAGCGACCACAACCCGCCAGGTGGTGGAGGCGCCCGTGTGCTGCTGCTGCTGCCTCCTGTCCTCCCCCTGCCTCTCACGCCGGCCTTCCTCTACCTCTCACACCTTCCACTGCCTCTCACGCCTTCCTCGCCCTCGCCTGCCTGCGTCACGCAAGTAAGTCTTCATACTGCTTACCTGCCACACGGCTGACAGTCATGCACTGACTCAGGGCGGACTCTACAACACCTGCCGTGGGGGGGGGGGCTGTACTTGCTGATCTATACACCTCTGCTCCTCTAACTTTACCTGAGGATCACCAGCTCTAGTGGCCTCGACGGGGACAGGAATACGGCTGCATGTCACAGGGCCCCATTGTTCTTGGGGGATTATTTTCCGGTTTAATTTTGAACTGCATTTCGCGCTTATGGCTTCGGCGGGTAGGTGTTTCCATCGGTTTAATTTTTTTCTTCTTTAATTTTTACATACAGGATATAGGAGTTTTTGCTGTCTTGTAACAGATGAATTCTTTTTAATTAGATTTAATCATTCTTCGTGTTGGGTGACTTAAAACCAGTTTACACAGACAGTACATGTTAGGCTTATAATGGCCCTTCCCCCCAGGGTGGACCTACTGACCCCCCCCCCTGAATGGAACCCCACAACAAGCTGGCTAACTCCTGGGTACCTATTTACTGCTAGGTGAACAGGGGCATAAGGCAATAGGAAATGCACCCAACCATTTCTGTGCCACTCCTGGGTACTTTTTACTACTAAGTGAACAGAAGCATTGGGTGAAACAAAATGTGCCTAACCAACTATGGGTGTAAAAGCCTATCTTATTATATCATTCGGTGTTCCTTTCTGAGGTTGAAGGTGTTGCCCCTTGTGTGAGTTACATTTAATCTCTAAAGTGGTCTGGATTATGTACATAAATGACCTACCAAACACATAACACTTTAACATAACTATTTGGTGATCACAATTGTAATTTTCTCAAATGCCAACCCACTTGCTAACTGACCACGTGAATGTTGAACTCATAACAGTCCGCATCTTGCTGACTAATATCAAATCCACCCACTGAAAAACATGGTGCATATTATTTTGCATAAAACTAATCAAATTGGATATAACTAGAATAAATATCCAGATTGAGAGAAGAGTAGAAGGAAAATTCCTTGTTCACACAAACTAGATTTCAGTTGCCATATATAGAATATAACAAAAAAGTATAACTAGAAATACAGTAAGTACTCTCTAAAATCTGATAACATGTACCTCGCCTATCCATTTCTTAACTACGTTATATATCCCAGAGGATCTATAACTGTGTAAATCTGCAATTAGAAGTATAACACACTTTAACTGCAGACAGTATAAAGCACCTTTATTAAATTCCTTGAATATACACACAGACACGTTTACTCTATAAAACTCTGAGGTGTGATACTAATTCTTACCGCAAGTGCTTCTTTGACAGCTGCAACAGAACCCATGGACACCACACACGAAACAAATATCTATGTAATATTTCAAGGATACAACTTCACCAAAGCAGAAATGCCATGAAAATAAAGGGTCCAAAATTGTGGAATTGCCTCTCAAATGCAGTGAAATGCTGTACTTCTCTTAACCAATTTAAGAGAAACAAAGGATTGCCTAATTAACATCATGTAGGTGTTTATATATCATCCTCACCAAGTAGCATAAATCTTGCTTAATATTTCATCCTAATTAAGACAGTTTGTTTGCAGTTGTTGTGAATATTAAATACTATAAATGTACTGTAATTATAGGCAACACTAAATTTATAATCTAAATAAACACTAAATTTTAGAGTACCAGTAGTAGTTGGGTTAGTTCTTGACTCGCAGTCAAGAATTCTGGGTTCGAATCTTGGGTGGGACATAAATGGTTGGGTGCATTTTCTATCACTTACTGCTAGGTGAACAGGGACATTAAGTACGTACCCAGGAGTGAGTCAGCGTGTTTTGAGGTTGCATCCTGGGGAAGGTGTGGATAAAAAGTTACCTGGATATTGTTCCAGGTAACTTCTTCAATAGATCAGTTGTAACACAAACAAGGAGCAATGCTATCATGCTCAACCTCAATGTTGGACTGAAAACAGGAGATGCTTTTTCGCCCACAGGGTTATAAACTTATGGAACTGCCTTCCCAAAAAAACTGTAAATGCCAAAACTGCTGAATTTTAACATCAGCTTGAAAAAATCACCAGGACAAATGGGGCCTTAGACAAGCCACCAGTTTCCTGTCCTCATCGAGGTCAATAGTGTGTTAGTGGCCTTCGTGTAAATTCAAGTAAAGAACCCTCATCATAATGTCTTTATATGGCAAGGTGAATCTTGTGGAATGCTCTCAGGCATATGTGGGTTACTTTTGTTCCCCTCTCCTTCCAGCGATGGCAATGTACAAGTGAAAACACCCACGTAGGTAATGTGTGGCTTTGCCACTCATGTATTTTCTATGCATGGAGCCCCATATTTCCTTTCTTTTGTATCTGGAAGTTGAGCGTACCTAGTAGTTGCAACTCCTAGTTGACAACACAATTTTTTGGTGGGGAATAGGGGTAAAATGAAAGATTCGGTGTTGCTTATCTGATTCAATCAGGTTGTCTGGGAAGTGGGCCTAGCCGTACTTGGGTCAAGAAATACCTAACCAAACTTGAGTCAAGCTAGCATTGGAGAGATGGTTGCTCCCATCAGTCCCTAGGTTGCCATTCAGACTCCCCACTGGTTACCTGCAGTAATCTGCAGTGAAGAAAGATAGAAAGAAATCTTGGGAAAGGGATAGTTGGCAAATGTAAAACAGAACAAAGCCTTCTCTATAAATTCATTAAAAGCAAATTGCAGGTAAATGAAAAAATTCAGAGCTTGAAAATGAGGAACACATTCTCAGAGAATGAAAAGGAAATGTGCGGAACACCAAACAAATGGTTCCAAAGTGTGTTTGTGCAAAATTAAATTTTCAGAACCAGACACTATGAATTTCAGATAATAACATAAGAGTACATAAAGGTGTCTCAAGACAAAGTGGAAAATATGCTCAAGGAGCAAATTAGGAACAAAGCAGTTGGCCCAGATGGAGTTTCATCTTTGGTTCTGAGAGAACGTGCACCTGAGCTCAGCATTCCACTTCAATTGATTTTCCGATCATCTTTGTGTACTTATGTCTTGGCATTTATGAAAAAAAGTTAACATAGTTCCAATCTACAAAAATTGTAGCAGGGATAATCCCTCTTAATTATTGACACGTATTGTTGACAAGCGTTCTAGTCAAAACAGAAAAAAAATTAAAATCAAATGGGTAGAACTCGTGAAAAGAAATAATATAATAACAGAATGGTTTTTCAGTCAGGAAGATCCTGTGCAACAAATCTTAGTTGCTATGATAGAGCCACAGAGATTTTACAGAAAAGAGATGGTAGGGATGACTGCATTTATCTGAACCTAAAAAAGGGGCTTTTGGCAGAATCCCACAAGAGATTGTTCTGGAAACTTGATCACACTGGAGGAGTGACAGGGACACGGCTGTATTCAGAGGAAATGTATCAGACTGGAGAAATGTTATTAGTGGGGTACCACAGGGTACAGTTCTTGCACTAGTAATGTTCATTATCTTTATAAATGATCTACCAGAAGGAATACAGAAATATAAGTGTTTGCTGATGATGCTAAGCTACAATACCAGGAAAGATAACAGATGATTGTCATCATCTCAAGAAGACATGGACAAAATAAGTGTGGAGCAACACACTTGGCAAATGGAATTTAATGTGAATAAATGCCACGTTAAGGAATGGGAATTGGACAAAATAGGCAACACACAACCTACAAATTATTTGAAAAAGCTTTAAAGAATTTTGATGAAGAAAGAGGTATAGGGGTGGTTCTGGATAGAAAACTCACCTAAGGACCACATTAATAATAATAATGTTTATTCAGGTAAAAGTACATATATACCAAATGAGTTACAAACAGAATGTTCAATTTCTAGATAGAGCTAGTATATACTATGACTAAAGCAACTAATATGCACGGCATTTCCAACAAACTGAGAACTTTGTAAAAGACGTGTATGCTATGCTTTCCAACGTTACAATCATTTTTAAGTGTATGGATGCAACTGAATAGCTTCTGGAACTGAAAAACGAGCTATGAGGATGGGTTAAAGGCATTAAATCTATCAAAGCTAGAAGATAAAATAAAAAGAGGTGATATGATCACTACATACAAAATAGTGACACCTATCGACAAAATTGAGATGGAAGAATTTTGAAAATGTCAAGTTCAAGAACTAGAAGACAGGTTCAAACCAAGGAAACATTGCTACCCCAAAAAATATTAGAATGTTCACTTTTTCGAACAGTGGTAGATGGTTATAACAGGTTAAGTGAGAAGGTGGATGCCAAAATTGTCAGTACTAGTTTCAAGGCATTATATGAAGTATTATTCAGTGTTAAAGATAAGCGTTATCTTTAGTATTTTGCCATCCATTTATTTAACATCATTAACAAACATGTTCATATAATTCTGTATGCCTTCTTGCAGATCATTTATATAGACAATGAACATTACTAATGCAAGAACTGAACCCTATGGCACTCCACTAGTAACACACTTCCAGTTGAATACATTGCCCCAGATTACCATCCTCATCTTTCTGTCAGTTAGAAATCTGTCATTTCATGTGCAGTATATCGACAGTTTTCCTGTCACCCTTCCAGCATGTTCATGTTCATGTGCATGTGTGTGTCCAATCAAGACAAATGACATATTGAAGCTATCAGTGTTGCCAGTTAAGTACAATACTGGTACTGTACTAGTTAATTAAAATCTATACAAAGTCTCATAAGTTTTTAATTTGTTGATGTCATTTTATGACATTTTTATTACAGTAACATAACTCGAGAAGCATAAAGTAATAACTAAAGTAATATTGTATAACTGTTCAGGGTATTGTAGAGCCATGGACACCGTTGAGGATGCAGAGAAGGCTGTGGTCGAGAAGCTGACTAGTGCCAAGGAGTTCAAGCAGAAGGGTAATGAACACTTCAAGGACAAGCAGTTGAAGAAAGCTATTAAGAGTTACCATAGGTAATTTAGGCTTTGAAAGAATTTTTTATCCTTGATTTTTATTATCTTTGAAAATATACAGTCGGGAACTTGAACAAAAAGCTTGCGAACCTGTCTATTAAATGTCATATAGAGTTAAGAAATATCCTTTAAACTTTTATACATTATATAAAATTATAATTTCTAAGAGGGTTAAAAAAAAAGTATATTTGACCTTTTAAAAGTTTACTTTTCTAGTGTTTAGTAATGTGCCAATATTTTTGTTTAGTTGTTGGTTGTAATGGTTTTTTGTTCTCAGTGATTACAAGTTTGTGGGGAAAGGTTTCTATTGATTTTTATCCAGGAATTATTATTTACAGAGCAATGCTTTCCATTGATTCTTAATGCATGCAACAGTGGTTTCTAGTGATTCTTAGTGTATTTAACAGTTACCTGTAGTTGATTTTTAGTTTTTTTAATCATGAAGGCTGACCTGGGTCTAGGCTTGCCTGTGATAACTTGATCTGAAATATTGTTGCTTACAGCATCCTTCTGGTCCCCGTACCCATTACAACCCGGCTGATCAGGCTTTTTTCATTACTTATTAGCGTGTGGGAATGTTTTCCGTTGATAATTTGTGTGCAACATTTTTTTCCCATCATTATTATGGGTCATTATAATTCAGCATTATAAAAGGTCCCATTAGTACAATCGGGTTCATTGTCGACTCGCAGTCAAGAATTCTGGGTTCGAATCCCGGGCAGGACAGAAATGGTTAGGTGCATTTTCTATCACCTAATGGCCCTGTTCACCTAGCAGTAAGTAGATACCCAGGAGTTAGTCAACTTGTGGGGTTACATCCTGGGGAGGGTGTCAGTGGGAGAGAAACTTGATACATGGAGAGGGTTTTTGGTTTACTGTACTACTACAAGTATTGCTTATTAGACTATGTATTACTATATTGCAACTGATCATACTACTACTACTACTAATTATATGCACTGCTTATGTACTATTATTACTACTTGCCAGTGCACAAAGGATGGTATTTTTGTATTAAGTGGATGTGTATTTTACATCATACTATTGTATGTATATGGGAACAAAAATTATACTGTATTATAAATTTTATTTTATTAATATTTTTATTATTTTACTCTACATGATAGATTGTATGTTGCACTGTAAGTAATGGACAGTAGACTAAAGCAAAGATCATTCTAAAATAAACGGCATTGTACTGTATACAGTATAAACAAAATGATATTGTTTCAGTGGGTTGATGTATATGAAAGGAATTGAACAGGATCTGAACCCCAACAAACTACTTAGAAGGCAATGTACTCCAACTATGTCAGAAGAAGTTAAAGAGGAAATTTCTGCTCTCACAGCTGATCTACACAATAATATTGCAGGTATTTTAGTTGTAAGTGATGCAAATAAAGCTGTATCCCCTACAATAATGTGAAAGGTGTTTGGGTTGGAGAGCCATACCCTCTAATGCAAGGTGCCTCCATCTCGTGAAGTGAAAGTGAGGTGAATGATGATAATTAAGTGTGCAATCAGAACTTAAGTTATATTTGTTATTATACACACTATTAATTTTCTTTGTTTTGCTATAAAAAGCATGTCCAATATAACAGTAACTTATATAGAAATTTGACTTGTTGCGTAGTCGTTTCTGTTAATGGGTAATTGGCCTCTGATGTTCATGCTGTGTCCTCTAATTGGGTTCACTTGCACAGTTAGGCTCATTCTCATCCCACAGTTGGGAATTCCAGGTTCGAATCCTGGACATTACAGAAATGATACGACGAGTTTCCTATCGCCTAATACCTGTGTTGACCTTGCAGTAAATGGGTATCCGGGAGTTAGTCAGCAGTTCGTTCTTGGAGTGGGGGGGGGGGAATGAACCTTGAGACAAGTCTATCATATAGTGTATTCACCTAGTTGTGCTTGCGGGGGTTGAGCTCTGCTCTTTCGGGCCACCTCTGAACTGTCAATCAACTGCTACTAATTACTATTTTTTTTTGTCCCACACCCACACACCCCAGAAAGCAGCCTGTGACAGCTGCCTAACTCCCAGGTACCTATTTACTGCTAGGTAACAGGGGCATCAGGGTGAAAGAAACTGCCCATTGTTTCTCGCTCGTGCTTGGAATCGAACCCAGGACCACAGGATCACGCGTTCAGCGTGCTGTCCGCTCAGCCACCAGTCCTTGTATGCATTAATATACAGTATTGTCTAGCTGTCCTCCAACAAAATTAATTATAGTACCCCTATTTTTCATTGGATATACCTTACACATTCAACATGGTTTATTTATTATTTAATTAATACAGTACACTATATGCAAGTTCCTAATTATTTTAGTCTTTTTGTTCTGAATTATTATTATGCCACGTGGCATAGTAATAATTCCCATTGTCAGGGACAGGTAGCCAGTACGTGTCTCATGGTTCCCCCCCCCCAGGTTGAACTGTTGCCTAACTCATATATGTGAGTTTGTGTATGTATATTTATGTTTACCTATGTGTAACTATTTACTGTTAGGTGAACACAGGCATCAGGTGAAATGAAATGTTTTCAACCATTTCTGTCCCACCTGGGGATCAAAACCAGGATCATCGGTTGAGTCAAAGGTGTTACAGTGTTACAGGACCCATATGATGACTTGGATACAGACAGGAACAGGTAAAGCTTAGACATTAACTGCTAATAACGTGTAGTGTGACTTGAGTCAAGCTTGGGGGAGCATGTCCTGCCAAATAGTCGTACGGGATTATATAATAACTTTTCACATTTTTTCAGCTTGTTTACTAAAACAATGCCCAGTGAGGTATGAACGAGTAATTGAGTGCTGCAAACAAGTGACGGAGCTTCAGCCAGATAATGTGAAGGGTTGGTATCGCCTCGGTTTAGCACACTCCCACCTCCATGACTATGATGCCGCTAAAAAGGCCCTCGAGGAAGCTAATAGAATAGCAGATGGACAAGGTATGTATTCATCAGCAAGTAATATAATATGTATCTTGGTGTCACGAATGTGTGTGCGTACCTGTGATCTTCATGTTCTGTGATATAAATAACATTGACAACCCATGGACTTGGAAAACCATGGTATGGTATAATATTAGAAATACTAAGAAAATATATATTCAATGCTTGCAGTTACAATTTCATACAGAACATGGTGAGCCAGGCTGAATTCGTGATCATATGTTAGGAGGTTCCCACACACTAAGCCATTGTGATGGCTTAGTGTGTGGGAACCTCACATTTACCCTCACAATTACCCTCCCTCCTATCAAGAATATAAGGTTGTATTGTTCCTAGCAAATGATATAAATGCATCAGAGTGACATGAATATATATTTGAGCATTCAGATGTTCCACACATTTTATTATAAAAATTTCTCAAAATACACACTACTGAATAACATTGCTGCTGCAAAAAAAAAAAAAATACTCTTCAGAAATACTGTGTAATAAATATTTACAAAATATATTCACTGTATAAGTCACACAATTTTTTTATTATTTTTCCCATGATCAGAGAATGCATTTTACCAATATAGTATTGGAAAGAAAAAAAATGGGGGGGGTGGATTTTTTTATTTTATGTGCACCTGGCTGTTGAATGGTATAAGTCTTGGCGCAGTTCAGGGGTAAATGGTTACTACAGTACCCTTTGCCCCCCCCCCCCTCTTTCCTCCCGGGACATTAACACTTTCGCGCACCCCGTGTGCCACCCCTCGACAGGGCGATATGGGCCCCAGCGTGTCACGGAAGCGCGCGTCAATTCCGAAAAGTGTATACTCTCTTCAACTTTGTCACCTCAATTTTCGTTCTACGAGATTAAATTTGGTATCATTGTGTTCGCAATAAAATTCTCTACAGCACTAAATGCATATAAACTTCAAAAGCCCGGCTAATTACCCGCAGCAAGCAGAGAAAGTGCGAACAAGTTACCCGGGAGCACGCAAACGCGATAAAATGTTTTCACTATTTTCACTCTGGTCACCTCAATTTTCGTCCTAGGTCTTTCATTTTGGTATCAATGGGTTCGTAATAGAATTCTCTAGAGGAATATTAGCATATAAAATAAAAAACCTGGTCACCCTCCAACCGCCGACGAGTTGAAGACAGGCCACGCGTTAGCCGGGAGTGAGCGCTCAGACACCTTCCCGCTACACTCCCAATTCCCGCCCACATATGTTTAGTATTATTTCCTGGTGGTAATCTCAATTTTCGTGTTACAGCGTTCATTTAGGTATGAAAATGTTCCTAATAGAATTCTTCAGATGGATATGTGCATATAAGGGCCAATTGAAGAACAACATTGCCTGTACAATACGGGAAAGTATGAACAAAAAAAAATAAATAAATAAATAATAAAAAAAATTGCACTTACCACCTGTGTTGTGTGTTGAACATGACATGGGTTGAACATTTGTTTTATCCACTCCACCTGCTCCTGGAAAACGTTTCCTGCAGGGTCAACCCATGTTTTGTATAGGTGGAGTGGATGGTGGGAGTTAGTCTCACATGCTTGTACTTCTCCTGTACACTACTCAGCTTCTGCTTTTCATGCCTTTCTTTCGCAATTTTCTTCCTGGAAGGGCCTTGTTCATGATCACTATCCATCGTGGAGTAAGCGTAGATAGTTTCTGAAGCCGCAGTAAGAAATATAGCCACGGAAAATAGCCGAAATGTTAAAACGTTTGAGACGCGAGGGGAGGCGACACCGGTTACAACAGTGGAGCGAAAACAATGGGCCGACGGCGTGTGCCGCGCCGCCTGCGGGCCACTAGGCGCCACAAAGAAAATGGGAAGACATCGGCGCGCATTTTAAAACCAGTCCCAAAAAAATCGGATGAAAACCCGATTTTTGGCGAATTTTTAAAGTGGATGACGCAATGCTGCGTCATCCCCGGCATTACCGCCAGTAAACGGATGACGCAATGCTGCGTCATCCCCGGCATTACCGCCAGTAAACAGATGACGCAATGCTGCGTCATCCCCGAGCGAAAGTGTTAATGGTACATACTGAAGGCATCTTGCTGTGTCAGGTGATGTCGTCTGCTCACTTCATGTGATCTTAGTGTGTGGCTCTATACTATGCTAAAACTTTTATTACCACACCCTCCAGAATTACTAAGTTCTTCATTGTGGCTTATAAAAGTATAGATAGCTATATATGATGTGTGTGTATACTGTATAGTATAATAACAACAAAAAGTTTTATTGTTCTAAGAATATAATACAGTATACGGATCACTACATATGAGCACCATATTTTTTAGCACACATTTATACAGTTCCCAAATTACACTACTGAATAATATTTCTACAAATTATTATAAAAAAACAGACATCACCAACACCTCCAATTCCAAATACCAACACCACAGCAATTCAGAGGTTTCCATCTGAGCACAAAGCCATGAATGGTGAAACTGGGCAAATATAGCCTGTAATGCGGCAGCTGCCTGAAATGCCTCTACTTCAGAGGCAAGTTTAGATAAGCTAAAACGCTGTGGGAAAAACTCCACAGGATTTGGAGTCAAAAAAAAAAAAGTCATCGACCCAATAGGCAGCATGGGGGAAGCGGAAAGAATGATTGTTGCCACGTAACATATGCAACAAACAGCCTTCAAACTAGCAGTTGGCAAGAGCTTGACAGGCCATTAAGCTTCATGCATAATTTACTTTGCCAAAGACCCATTGGGGAATACCAGGACCTACTGGTAATACACCAGACAGGTGCTCCCAAATGTGCCATATAAACAAAGTGTATGTGCCCCCAAGTGCACACAATCTAATAAATGCCCCCAACCAAGGGCCTCAACAGTAAGGTCAGAAGACCCCTCCTGAAATAATCGAAGTAAGACACTTGAGCCTGGTTGGCCTGGCCTCAAAAGGACTAACTCCCAAACACACCAGAGAGAACTCTCGGTGCAAGGACAGTGGTCATAAGTACCCAGGGAAGTAACCATTTGACATGTACAGTTCAAAGCACAAAATTGGGCAGAAAACACAAACACACACACACAGAACAAATACAAATATGGAGTGTGATAGACTAGCAAAAAAAAGACTCCTACAGGACAAGTTCTAGGGTGACCAGTATTTAGCTGAGAAGCTCTGGAACTTGCTGCAAGATAGGTTGTGAAAAAGAAGCACTTACATTGCTTTAGGTTATCCATCAGCGAAAGAACTAGTTGATACCTGGTTGATGGGGTTCTGGGAGTTCCTGGCCCTGAGGCCAGGCTTGACTTGAGAGTTTGGTCCACCAGGCTGTTGCTTGGAGCGGCCCACAGGCCTACATACCCACCACAGCCCGGCTGGTCCGGCACTCCTTGGAGGAAACAATCTAGTTTCCTCTTGAAGATGTCCACGGTTGTTCCAGCAATATTTCTTATGCTCGCTGGGAGGACGTTGAACAACCGTGGACCCCCTGATGTTTATATAGTGTTCTCTGATTGTGCCTATGGCACCTCTGCTCTTCACTGGTTCTATTCTGCATTTTCTTCCATTTTGATTTGGGTTTTAAGACTTATGCTGTGACTTACTCAGAAGCATGTTCATCCTTGACCCCCTTTGTCCCTCTATGATAATCCTCTTATATACTGGGATGCTGTCAAAATCTTGGGGTTGATCTTTGACACCCTGTCACTTGCCTCTTAAGTTAAATGCTCTGAGGCCCTAACCTTAGTTAGTTTTCTCCCTAGTGCATCTATCAGCTTCCTAGGAAGCTGATAGATGCACTAGGGAGATAGATGGAGTGCATCTATCAGGGAAGCTGATAGATGCACTCCTCTCGTTCTAAAATCAATTAAATTATAGCTGCCATATATTCCTTGGCCTCTCGACCATCCATAATCTTGAGGATCTCCACCACACTGCATTATGCCTTAGCTCTAGGGCCTTTTGTTCATCCTCTGCCCAGAGCTTTGATTTTGAAACTGGTGTTGTGTCTCTACAGAGTGGGTATGATCATTACTGCTTCACTACCTCGTGTGGTCCCAGCAACATCCCCTCTCCCACTTGTGCCGTGCTGTGACCACTGCTTCTCACGAGAGATCTGTTCCCTCTTGCCGCTTTCCTTTTTGTTTGCTAGATTCTCACAGATCACATTATCAATGTATGCCCCCCTCCCCACCCATCTCTGCAGTCCAAAAACATTAGCAGGATCATCAGGTATTGAACTGTGCTCTTCAAAATTACCTTTCTCCTGTGGCCTTCCTCATACCACAATAACAGATGATGGAAAATGGCTTTGGTTAGGTTCACATTGGTCACACCCGCTTAACTCGCGGACACTTAATTAATGGAACGAGTACTTTTCATCCATACTGCATTGTCCCACTTAGTCATACACCTCTGTAAAATGTCCTGATTTTCAGGTTAATCTCTTACTTTCGTAATGTTCCTAGGGGTCATTTGTCCCTTGATAGAATCCATGGTCAATCCAATACCTTTGATAGCACTCACATTATGTCCTTTTGTTCTCTTGTTGGCATCTTGAGTGATATTTAGCACCTTTTGAATATCAACACAGACTGTGCTACATAATCTTCACAGCTTGATGCCTTCTTTTGGTAACTACTATTTGAAATTGCAGATATGGCAGTGAAGAAGCTGATATCATCAGTGGATCAAGAGCTTAAAAAAGAGAATGAGAAATTTAATAATATGTTTAAAAAACAATTTTTTGTATAAGAAAGGATATACAGTATGTATATAGCAAGAATTTCTTTAAAGTTATTTGATCTCTAAAATAACTTGCTAGCTTTCAGATTCAAACGGGCTCTATCTCAATTTTTTTCTTCAATGTACGAACGTACAAAAGACTGCTTGAAAATAATTAATATGCCACTTGTTATGTTGAATTATTTGTTACCTGTCCTTGTTAGTGGGGTTGAAGCACCTGCGTCAAGGATAATAGAATAAGACATTTAATTTTCTGAAAATATATGTGCAGTTTTAATAATCATGTACAGTATTAAGTATAGAATATCAAATATAGTTGAATTTGATTTCCAATTCTTATGAATAATAATAATTGTGAAGAGTGTTTTAAAGCATTGTGATATACCTTGGTTCTCACTCGTGTATAACAAGTGACTGGGGAAAACTTGCACAGAAAGAAATGTTGAGTGAAAGTAGAAGTCTGTAGCATATATACTTGTTATAACCAGTAACTACCAAACCACATGTAATGTGATAAATGATTAGAGTTGTGCAGTTTTTTATCGAAAGATGTAAGAAAAGAAATGGCAATTTAGACATCACCCTTGTCAAGTGTCCATGTCATTGTTTCGAGTGCTCAGCCATCGACATTAAGTACTTACTGTATGTGTCTTTCTATATTCCTGTGGCTTCATGCAACCTTGCATCAGTCCTAGGTTATAATTTCTTTGGCAGTTTTGTTTTAATAAATATTCATGCTTAGTATGGTGTTTTGTGACAGATTTTTAACCCCTTGAAAAGCATAATTTTTCTAGCCAAACACCACTCATGAGCTTTGCTAAAACAAATGTAAGAAATAATTAATTATTGATTAATATTATTACTGTGTTCTTATCAAACAAGAGTTTAAAACAAAAAATAGGGAAACATTAAACTGGTGTGTAATACAGTGGTTAACGAGCCTGGCCTGAGGACAGGTTGGACGACAAGTGCTATACCAACTGCTTTTGTTGCATACTCGCCTTTACTCATCACTTAAACTAAAATGTACTTACACCAGGTGGTATATATACAGTTATGTTACAACTTCAGTTTACTTATTTTATTTTTTCATACAGCATTCACACAATTATCTATGCCAAAATTGTCATACTTAATTCTCCTAGGGAGTACAGTTTAATATTCATGAACTGCTAATCAAACTTAAAAAGGAACTAGAATTTCCATCAGATCAAATTAAAAGAGAGAGATGCATGCCCTCCGAGGAAAGACATATGATACAAATATTTTCATTTAAAAGTCAAATTATTTAAAATTACAATTTCTGTACAGAATTTATAACTACAATCATATCTATTTCATCTATTTTACTGATTCATCTCCATGGTAATAGGCAGTGTTGGATTACCAAGAGATCTTTCATTTATAGCCTACAAAGTCTTAAGTCAAGTGGCTTTTTAAAACTCTATAACCCAATGTTGTATGGCACCTCATTGTTTGTCACCATTCTCATTTCTTATGTTCAATTCCCTAACCAATCCCAGTCTTAAATATCTATTCCCATTCAACTCGATCGGAACTTTAACTTGACCAATGTTTATGCCATTACCCCTGGAAATATCATGAGACACTCCTCATTTTTTCTGCTATTCAAACTGTCTCCATTGTATAAAATTATCCCAAATATTTTGTTTACCAACTTTTGTACCTTCAGGTCATGAACCCAAAATAACTTGGCTCCAGATTCTATAAGATGCCCTTTGTCACTCAACACTAGTAGTTACCATCATTACAGCCATCATAACTAAAATTTTGAAACAAAAAAAATATGATTTGAGTATTATTTTAAATTGGCTTTAAACAAAATTTAGAAACTTAAAACATCCTGCCCAAAGCACTTGAGACTAATATCACAAACATTTAAATAAGAAAATAAAAGAGAGTCAAATTTCAGACTTCAATCAAAAACATACAAGAAGAGAGAGTACTAACCATACAAACAGTCCTAAACACTTGAAGGTTGGTAGATTTGGAGACACAAAAAGGTTGATCAGATGCATATTAAACGCATCCTACAAAAGTATAAATTTGTCAGGTTTTGAGTATTATAATTCAGCTATGCTTGTTCACTTCCAAAAACAGATGGCACTTAAGAATCTTGCTTGATAAGTAATTTATCCAATCCATACATACAAAAATACAAATCTATTCTTAGACATGCTGTTTTATATCTGCAATACAATGTGTTACGTTATACAGCGCACACGCACTATTTTCATCAATCACGTGCTCAATAATTATATACACTAACAAGAAATATATTAAAAGATATGCATTATAAAAATGTAAAATTCAGCAATAAAATTACATAACTATCAATACTATACTTCATTTCTTTGGCTTTGTGTGGAAGCACTTGCATCTAGAGTACCATAATAAGAAGGTAAACTTTGGTGGAAGTTCTCGGGTCTTACTGGAGTGCTTACAGCCACAGGCTCTGACGGTCGTCTCAACATAATCGGGAGGGCAGGCAATCCTGGGCTGTCTTGGTGTCCTCTATCTGAATCCAACAACCATCTGGGAATTTCATCTCGATACATTCGACGCTGAAGTACAACTCTTGTTCTCCTTCGTGTGCCTTCATACTTAACAGTTCCCTGAAAAATATAAGACAAAAAAATACTGTACTGTACTATACATCTATACACTGGCAGTGATCAGAATTTGTTGCAAGGCGAAGTTAATCTGGATGCTGTAAAATCTTGGTACCGTATATAAACAGGCTGGTGGCTTGTAGCATAGGTGAGTAACAACAAACTAGTTCTGGGTTCTATCATTAGCCAGGACAAGACTTTTGGCCAGATTTCCTAACACCTGATGCAGCTATTCACCTTGCAGTAAATAGGTGCCTAGGAGTTAGTTGATTACTGTAGGTTGCATCCTGGGAAAGGTGAGTTGTTTGCTAAAGGAACCTTGACAAGTGTAACTCTTCCTGTTCCCAACAATTGGAAACTAATGAATACAGGCTGTTGTGATGTGCTCAGACTGATGTAACATCAGTATGCAGAGCAAATATAACCATGGGGGGAAGGGGGGGGGGTTAAGACAGGGAGTCAACTCAAATTTTATTGTATTGGTTGGGGTGATGCTGATAGATCTCGCTATGCATGTACTGAAGAGACCAGAAGACTGAATAAATATGGCTAATTATACAATAGCATGTAAAATTATTGATTGATGAAAAATATCTGTTATCTCTTGCCATGGCGAGTGCTGTCGGGTATATAGTCTCCGACTACCAATGACTTACTCAGTTTGTCATGGTGTATTGGTCATGGTACTGGATATGTTATAACACTGAAATCATTCTGTAAGCTGTCTTCTAAGACAGTGATAAGAGGCTGACAAAATTCTCTCATTGCAATTACAAAGGAAACCTGCTCAAGCAGATTGTAATTACAGTATATTAAAAGCCTGATAAATAGCACAATTAACTGACTTTATGGGTTATAATGGAGTACAGTACTAATAAAAGGGGGTGGATACTGTGTGAATAATTTCCTTGCCAAATTTAAAAAGTAAAGTTATATATATAAGCCAAAACTAGACAAAGGCTAAAGCCTCATGCACTGCCATGAGCTAGAGGCTATGGCAATACAGGAGTGGAGGTGTAATGCCGCTTAAAAACATCCCTGCCAGAACATATAAAAGGCAGGCCAAGCTCAAATACCAAAAATATATGTCACCTGAATTTTAAACAGATGGCAACACATTTGCATTAAAACTGGAGAGTGTGTGAGAGAACCTAAGTGTTCTTGAGGGCTATAATGCAGGATCTAGAACTTGAGCAAAATCATAGCCAACAGTACTCTCTTACTTTGACAAAATGGGAAGCAAATGTATCCTGATTGGAGGAAACTACTCAATGGTTAAAGGTGGATTAAAAAAAAGGCAGGTACAAGAAGCTACCGAGACTGCCCAGAAAAGGATATTTTGTTACATCGAGTTTGATTTGGAGATGTAGAATGACAGGATCACCAATAAATTGGATGGTTGTGTACACAAAACTACTTGCACTGTACGGTATTTTAAAAACTAAGGCAAAATATACAAGATGGAGTAACATGAGCATAGCACTACCAATAACAAGAAATTAAAAAAAAACACGCAAGTAGATAAACAGCACTCCACACGCACTTGACCTTAGGGGCACAGTGGTAGAGTATTGGCAAGTCTAGAAGAGACTGATGTATGATATCAAACTGTTAGAGTACACTTGTGTCTTACCTGAGCTTCTAAAGCACTGGCATACTGTTGGAGAGTCGGAGTGTCTGCAGCATCACTGTACACAAATCTCAGTTCTTCTTTTGTCAGTTTCACATTAATACATACATTTTCTTCATCTGGAAAAATTTATTTATTACATTTCTCCAAATATCATTACCAAACAAAATTATTTTGAACTACACTACTAATGCCCCAATTCATGTATCAATAGACATTTTGAGAACAATAATTTATTATTGTCATTTGTTAGCTTTAGTTGAAAGAACTTTGTTAACTTTTATTGTCATTATTAGTTGCAAGAAAATCTTGCAATAATGGTGACTTGTCAACTTGTATAGTGTTTCATAATTATTTAAACATAAAACAATAAGATTACCTGAATACAAGACATTGGAAAAGATTTAAAAATTATGTTATATAATAAAAACTTATATTGAGGATTTATGATGAATTGTTGCAGAAAAATTCAAATCCTCAAAATACCAATGTTTAAGAGATTTTATTTCCATTTCAGTGTTAGTATTTCATCAGATTTTGATGAAATTTTCATAATTAAGTTTTTTCATCCCTTAAAATCCCTTAAAAAATTGGCAGGTTTTACATTTGTGTTTGAGGGCTTTTTTTTTTTTTTTAATATGAAGATAGAATTTTGAGAAAAAATGAAAACACCAAATTCATTATTTTTTTCCATTACTGTACAGTATTAGGAACATTAATTGGAAATTTCCCAAATTCATATCTGGTCTTTCTAATGAAACCATCAGAAAGACTACAGGTTGGGCGAGTGTGGAAGCGGGAGGGTTGAGCGAGTGTGGAAGCGGGAGGGTTGAGTGGGTAGGGGGGGGGGGGGGGTTGGGGAAGTTCAGTGAATGAAGCTAGAGAAACATAGGGCAATGTTTTAGTCTGAGTAAATATGTGGAGGTAGGTGGTGCACCTTGTGAAACTGCTGCTGCTTTTGTTTATAGTCTCCACACAATTTTTGAGTCCTAAATATTTTCCTCGAAGTTCAGGAGGCATTAAAGTGGGTGGTAAGCCTACGGGTTACCAAATACGGTAATTAACACGGAAAATATAGTAGACGGGCTATCTTGAAAAGTAAACAGTTAAGAATTTAAATGATTATTACAAGCAAGGTGCAGTAAAAGGGAGCCGGTCGGCCGAGCGGACAGCACACTGGACTTGTGATCCTGTGGTCCTGGGTTCGATCCCAGGCGCCGGCGAGAAACAATGGGCAGAGTTTCTTTCACCCTATGCCCCTGTTACCTAGCAGTAAAATAGGTACCTGGGTGTTAGTCAGCTGTCACGGGCTGCTTCCTGGGGGTGGAGGCCTGGTCGAGGACCGGGCCGCGGGGACACTAAAGCCTCGAAATCATCTCAAGATGACCTCAAGTACTGTACCTATATAACCTTGGGAAGTTTGTGTCCAGATTAACATTCGGAAATTTACGAGTCTCACCTCCATCCTTATCTGCCTGCACAGTCTGGTTGTACTCCATGCGGAATGTGAATGCCTCTAGGATGAAGGCAACAACAACAGACATGACAACCATCATAACCAGGTAGAAGAGCATGAAGTACAGTCTCGCCCAGTCATTTGTCACCGCTGCATAACCTGCCAACGTCACAAACAATCACTTATTGCTGCTGCTGCTTTACCTAATAATGGCTTATGTAACACTGTTCAAATTGTAACTTGTAAGCCTAAAAATTTCAATTATCTCACTGATGATGATATAAGTCGGGCCACTATAAAATTTATGTTTGTGTGAAAATATTTAAATTTCAGCCTCCTCATTAACTATGGTCTTTGTATAGAAATCTACTCCATGATTGTGGTTGTACCACACTAAAAAGTATCCATATCAGCTGGAAGGGCCAAATTAGAAACAGACAAGCTAATTAATATTACAACAAACACTGTCTTTAGAAGTGCCAGTATTACAAGTTAAACAAATCATCCCTATGTTAGGAAATGCCAATCACTAGATGTACTGTATCAAGTTACAATATTTAACCTCGACTTAATTACAGGTGGTCTATATTAATTTAAATGAAATTCCATTGAACATAAAAAGATCTAAGCCAAATTAATCTAGTGGAGGGAGAAACTATCATCCTTTACTGCAGTATGACAACTATTACCTTCCATAATGATAAACCAGTTGTTAACCACTGTCAGTTCAAACAGTGTAACTCCTGCTATGAAAATGTTATCGAAGTTGTTGAGGTAATAATAATTTACATACACGGTTGTGTTGTCATCCTTGTAGAACTGTTCTACTGTTGTGTTCCTGCAAGCAAATATTGCATTAATATTCAGGACAAAAACAATGCATTTCTGATTATTTATGACAATCTTTTGTGAATTGCCTTCTTAAAGCTTGACTGAATTTGTAAACAAATAGATTGTAGAATATTTAGTATAAAAATGAATTAAATATGAAAACCACCTTTCTTATCTGGCCCCCCTAAAGCAAGTTCTACCATCATACGACCAGGGTTGGAACTAGCCATCACACACAATTTCCAAACATCCTGGCAAGGTCATGCATCATTCTCAATGGTCACTGGATATCACTCAAGCCAGCACATAATAATAAAATTAAGACGAATAAATAAAAGCAGACCCTGTGGCGCAGCAGTAAGACACTCGCCCCGCACTTCGCGCGTGATTTGGCCCGAGTTGACTGGGTGCCAATCTTTAACTATACACCTCTGTTCACCGAACAGTGAATGAATACCTGATTGTTAAACAATTTGGTGGGTCGTATTCCAGGAAAATTAAGAATAAGGATCTACCCGAAACGCTATGCGTGCGTGTGGCTTTACAAGCATGTCCGGCAACCAGGAGGCCTGGTCGACGACCGGGCCGCGGGGATGCTAAGCCCTGGAAGCACCTCAAGGTAACCTCAAGGTAAGGTATGTAAGAACTCTTATGTAGCCCATGGACCCTTTCCCCCGTGTCCCACAATAGGGGTGATAGTGACAAATGAAATCTTCTAACAGTATTTACAATATGGGCAGGGAGGTTTCTTAAGTTCCACTGAGAGGAGTGCATTTGGTGGGAAGTATTAGGATCATGTTTACCTTTTTATTTGTAGCTGTACAATTAAAGTTTGCTTAGAGGACTGTATTATTAGATCAAAAGTGGTTGATAAATAAAAATAGTAAATCCACTGCACCGATCCATGAGACTTATCAGAATCTGAAGGCCTGTTCTTCACTACCAAGTCACCTAGTTTATGTCGACCCTCAAGCAATTTACGGGCTATTCATGCCCGTGCCACCTTTTGGGTGGCTTAATCTTTATCAATCAATCAATCAATCTCAAGCAATGTATTTGTTTGAGGGGGTGCCTATTAATCAATGGTTAACCAGAAACTTGTACAAGTACCAGTTGCACACATGAGGGGATCCAGTTAAGTACCACTGATGGAATTCTGGGTTCTTCTGTAGAAATTGACTGCCGAGATGAGTGGGAAAACTCTCATTATGCTCTGTCACAAATGCTTATATTTTACGTAAATGTGGCTCTGAGGTAAGTGCTTAACAGATACACTACTCTTCAATGACTTTTGATGCTTATTTCTTAATAGCAATGTACAGTATACAGATCAATAAAACAATCCAAAACAGTACATGATACTGTAATGTTATAAACAAATTTAATGAAACATTAATGTATTAATTTTTAATACATTAATGATCATTAACATTATTAAACTCACACACAACAATTCTTCATATCATAATTAGAAAACAGCTCCATCCCTATGACTGCAAAGAAGTAGTAGATGATGATGATGACGACAATGGCAGATATAATACGAGGCGTCAGGATGACTAAAGTCTGGAAGACATCTCTATATCGCTTTCTCATCCGAAACAACCGAAGGAGCCTGAAAATATTTGTTTCACTTGTTATAGAAATACAATTTTTTTTAAAACTTGTACAATACTGTACTGTATACTGAAATAATAATATCTTGTAAACACATTACAAAAAAATTATTTAAACTATTGATATTCAATTAAAGATACACATTCTCATAACATCTATTTAAGCCTTTTTCTAAGTTTACTTTCTAAAAGACTAAGCAAGAAATGCGTAAACAAAATGGGGAAAGTAAATACTGTGCCGTCTTACCGTAGTGGTCTTAGGATAACAATATAAAAGAACGACGAGGAAAATTTCTCTGCAACGAGTCCAGCTATTGACAATATTGTAATAAAGAAATCATAAATATTCCAACCAGAGTGGAAGTACCGTCTGTATCCAAGCCCAATTATTTTCAAGGCAGCCTCTACACCATAAACTGAAAAAAGAACAAACATTTATATCACTACCAGACTCCAAACTATATTTGCAACTGCAAATGAATGGACAGTACAGTGCGACCTTAAAATCTGGACTACTGTTCATTCTACCAATTTAGGATTTTCACTAATTGTTACGAAATGTTGCAATTATATTCTATGTATGTATATATACAGTATATGCACAAAATGATAAATAACACCGATACATTAATGCCTCAGTTAACCACACAGAGAGAAGGGAATGCTGGAGTACTTTCAAGCCAGCATGGGACCTTTTTCCAGTAGCAAATGACAGAATCCAGGTAGGTCAGGCCAATACATGGGGCCTGGTATGGGAACGGAAGTGAAAAAAGGGCAAGAGGGGTTTCAGGAGGCAGCATGAACAAAATGTCATACTTGGTAACCCACAGAGGAACCGGTGGAATTACCAAGGGAAAGATAAGACAACAGTGGACACAGATGCAAACACGAGTAAACAAGTTTACTCATTTAAGTCACATAAGTACAAGGAGAATGTACCACATTCTATTATGGTGTACTAAATTTATTTATATTCAACATTTGTAATATGAAAAACTTACACGTAACAAAAGCTACCTGGTCCCATGTCACGTGAAGGTCGTGCGAGACGGGCGTGTCGCTCATTGAGAGGAGAATAGTCTTCAGAAGAAGAGTTATGGCATTAAGCATAATCACCACATCTGGCAATAAAATATTTTAAGAATATTAATTTAACTTTCCACATACATGACTGGATTATATTATACTGGTAAAAGTACTTAAAGCATCTACAATACCCTATAAGGACAATGGATACAAGCTACATTGCTGGTCATGAACGAATAATTCAAGAAACTTCCACCCACCCTCCTGCTCTCTCTCTAATTGTTCCAGTCAAAGATTTTAATACTAATCCCCAAGATCAATAGCTTCAATTTGGTCTTATCTGCTCTTTATGTTACAATTGTCACTCAGGACATCCACAAGTCTGATGTTTGTGTTCCAATATCTCCCTGCTCCATGTGCTATTCACTGGTGGATTACATTAATTCGAGAGCACAGTATCACCTCTCTATTTTAATTTAAACTGAGGATATCTCCATGCTACTACAATGGAGTAAGTGGCTAGAGACCACTTTTGATGACTGCATGTAGTCTTTGATTAATCCTGATCTTGGGATTGAGCCCCAAGCAGACAGAAATGGCTGGGCACATTTACTTTACCTAATGCCTCTATTCACCTAGCAGTAAATATGTGCAAGGTGTTAGGTTGGTAGTTAGATCTAAAGGATCTCGATACAAGCCTAAAAACAGACATCCTCTCCCCAGCAATGGGAATTAAGATTGCCACTTCCTTTGTTTCACTTCTGTCTCTCCTACAAACAATATATCATTTTTTTTTTTTTTTTTTTTTTTGAGATATATACAAGAGTTGTTACATTCTTGTACAGCCACTAGTACGCGTAGCGTTTCGGGCAAGTCCTTAATCCTATGGTCCCTGGAATACGATCCCCTGCCGCGAAGAATCATTTTTTCATCCAAGTACACATTTTACTGTTGCGTTAAACAGAGGCTACAGTTAAGGAATTGCGCCCAGTAAATCCTCCCCGGCCAGGATACGAACCCATGACATAGCGCTCGCGGAACGCCAGGCGAGTGTCTTACCACTACACCACGGAGACTGCATTCTTTGCCCTGTCTCTCAATACTATCACTACTGGATTCACATTGTTTATTGTCTGCCTTGTCAGCAATACTTTAGTACATGCTCCATCTATGGTCATGAACAAAACCATTTGAAAGTTGTTTCCTTATTTCTCCCCGATGACCATTTGCATTGATTTCTATTGTTCCTCGAGTATCTACCTTGGATATAGAAAGTTCAATGAAGATATGAAAAGTAAAATATATTACTGGTATAATGTTGGTCTGGCATCTTCATAAAGTTGCTCTCAGAAGACAATTTTGCTACAACCAACCACTGTACAGCCACTTTTGCTACTGTGGCTACAGCCACGTGCAGTCGAGTGTATGTTTACATGCACGTGGACACTAATTACTGTCGCACAAGCACAAAGAAATCACATTAAGATGAAATATCAATTGATACATCACATTAATGTGATTTCTTTGTGCTTTTGAAAGAAGCACTGGTGGAAGAACTCCCACACCACACCAGGGGGCCTGGTAGCCTGATGGATAGCGCACAGGACTCGTCATTCTGTGGCGCGGGTTCGATTCCTGCACCAGGCAGAAACAAATTGGCATAGTTTCTTTCACCCTGAGTGCCCCTGTTACCTAGCAGTAAATAAGTACCTGGGAGTTAGTCAGCTGTCACGGGCTGCTTCCTGGGGTGTGTGTGTGTGTGTGTGGAAAAAAAAAGTAGTTAGTAAACAGTCGAGAGGCGGGCCGAAAGAGCAAAGCTCAACCTCCGCAAACACAACTAGGTGAATACACCAGAGTGTACATGAGTAATGTGTAAATACTTGGATTTAGTATCGGCTCTATGCCTCAAGACCCTTTATGGATTCAGGTGAATAAGAATTACATTACGTATAGTGAATCGTGGTTCAGTGGTTCAAGGCATGCTCTTGGAAGTACTCGTCAAATCCTTCACATGGCTCCAATTTTCCCATTTGTAATTACTGTCATTATTACATAAGAATTATTATACACTTTACGGGGGTACACAATGCACCTTAGTCACCCCCCCTCCCCTTCTCCTATCTTATCCCCTTTCAACCCCCCCCCCCCCCCACCATTTCACCCAAGTAAATGGTGGGAGTAAGCCTCAAAGTCCACAGTTTTCATAACCCCATTCAGCCAATAAAGTATAGTGAGGTAAAGTCATTATCACATACAGTAACCTAAACAGTGTTGCAAGATACTAGTACTGTATACATACACTGTACCATCTCTAATCTAGTGATTAGGTCAAATGGCACTTTGGAGTGAAAACTACAACATTAGTTTATTAACAAATATTTTAATACAGAAACTGTGCTCCAACAGGTCGATTACTCACATACAAGAACTTTGAACAGGTTCCAGGTGACGAGTCTTCGAATGAGGTAGAAGCAACTACGAACAGGATCGGGAAGTCCACTAAACCACGGGTCTGGTGGCTGGTAAGGCTTCCACTTAAAATCACAAATTTCATAAATATTGTAGAACTCGGAAAGGCATAAAACTCCCGATTCAGAGCGATTTAAAGCTTTAAATACAAGGTAAGCATCTCGATCACCTGTGGAAAGTAATGACAAGTACTGTACTGGTAAATTATATAAATTTAAATTAAATGCAAAATAAAAATACAGCATATCTGAATTTATTCTGAAGAGGCATTTATACAAATATCTTAAACTATGATTCAAGAAGTTATTGCTTGCACATCTCTTAATTAGCATACTGTACTAATTCTTTAAGACTTGTGTTGTTAATACACCATTACAGTGCTCTCACTTCCTTGTAGCTTACTCTCTCAAACCAAAAGCATCATTTACTGTATTTCTCTAACATTCCACATAGCCTTATGAATTTTCTTTTGTTTACAAAACACCAATAAAACTTATTACGCACTAGTACTAGGCCTGAAGAATCTGAGGAGACCCCGAAAGTGTCGGAAAGGAATGTGTGTGGGCTGCGTCCTGGTCACCAGCAGACGGAAGGCATACTGACACGCCCTCCTCTTATGAACCAGCAGTTTTCTAAATTTATCCTTCTCAATGTCACTAAATACTACAAACACCACAGCAAGCATCTGCAATAAATAAATTTCACATTTTGGAAAATGACACGAATATGGATACTGCAAACAAACAACTTACGAATACCTTAAACCATACCTGGCTAAATACAATGTCACCAACATTGTACAATAGTCCATTTGTGAGACAGATGAATGACTGGGCAATATCATGCTAAACAACCTCATGCAAATCCAACTTAAAGTTCATAAGGATAAAAATGGGAAGCCTGGAATGCATTCCTAAATCCAGTTATTTTCCAGTCCTAGTGCAACAAATGTTCTCTGACCATTTCCCTATAACAATTAGTATACAGTATTTAACAGTAAAATAAATAAATAAATATATAAATAAATATAAATACACACACACGCGCACACACAGTAAATAATGAAACTTTGTAAAGAGTACGAGTTTTACTTTGCAAGAGAAAACAGGTCTGGTGGTTCCTGCATTTTTTCTTATATTTTTTATATTCTACAGGAACTGGATTACTCTAGTATGCTTTTGCTCCATGGTAAAGATATGAAATCTGAATCTCCAACTGAAATATGCTGGAGGGATGGCAGAAGACTTCTGACATGGATGATATTTTTTTCTTACAAAAAATTGAGGGCAGAAATCAGAGGGAATGCATCAGACTGCAGAAATTTTACTAGTGAGGTACCATAATGTTCATTTCAAGCCTAAATAGTGTTCATTATCTTTAAAAACGATTTTCAAGAGATATCACAGAATGACATGAGCATGTTTTCTGATGGCTAAGCCCCTAGGGAAGGGAAGAGATTTGGATCATTGTTATGCTCTTCAAGATCACCCCGGACAAAATAAGAGTATGGAGTAACACTTTGCAGGTGGGATTCAACATAACACATTACAAACTTTGGTATAGGAGAGAATAGGCCCCACACACCCTACAAAATTGAAATATGCAGAGGTTGTATATATTGTGCCCATATCTCAAGATGAATCGATAAACTGGAAAAGGTGCAAAGACATAATACCAAATGGTTTCCAGAACTGAAAAACAAGAGTTACAAGCATAGGTTAGTGTTAAATATGCTGGAAGACAGAAGGAAAAGAGGATATATGATCACTATATACAAAATAGTAAGAGGAATTCATAAAATTTACAAAAAAATCTTGAAACCCTCAAGAACAAGGTCATCGATTCAAGCTAAGAAAACAAAGGAGCTGAAAAAAATTAGAATGCTCTCTTTTGCAGAGTGGTAGACGGTTGGAACAAGTACACGAGGCAGTGAAGGCCAAAACCATCAGTAGTATACAAGCACCGTGTGTGAGTGTCGTGCTTTATTGCATTGTACACCACGAGCATAGCTCTAATCCTGTAACTACACTTATGTAATTATACTTAGGTATAATTACACAATTACACTATGGTATAATTACACAATTACACTATGGTATACTCAAGATGCCAGGCAACAACGGGACACTTTATGTAGAGGTGACGACATAATGTATATATCGGCACTGATCCAGCAAGTATCCATGCAAATTTTAAACTAATCTTCAACTCTAACATTTTCTAAAATATTATGAATGCCACAGAATTATAATACAGTATTATTTTTCACTGAATATTTCATGAAACTAAAATATTTCATTCTAAAATGGGCCATGAGAACTTCTCAACTTTATTGCATGAACCAGTTTATTCTTCAACCTTTCAAAATATTTTTTCTTTAAATCACTTGGCATATTCTATTCAATAATATTTATTTTTCACTAACTGAAGTTTCTTCCTCAATTAAAAAAAATGCAATAGAATTTAGGCTCCTCATAGGCAAGAAACTTAATTTATGTCCTTCAGCAAAGAGGTAATAAAAAAAATGGCAGTTGATCACTGTCAATTACACTCATTGTTAAATGTTTGTTCGTTATCACTGGCTCGTTTCCAGCTACAACCACAATAATTTTGGAAATATGCATTTACTAACCAGATTCATCAAGAAGTAGAGATTGACAGCCAAGAACAAGATGAAGAAAGCAGCACTGCAGCGGTTCTTGGCATACGCCGGCATCATCACATCTGGGAAACTTTCAACATACAACACAACTTACTTCTGTAACTTCAAGACTCACGGAAGAGTGCAAATGTTATGATTAAACATAAAGATGTGGACGGTGAGTAAACATGTTTACAGGGCGTTATACTTGGCAATATTCGCTAAGTTGTCACGTCTCTCTCTCTCTCACTTCAATAACAATAATTTGAGATGTTAGTTATATAGAGCACAACTGTTTGTAATGATGAGAACTTGAAATACATGCTTGCGAAAGAAATCGTGCAGCTGCCTGTCTTCAGGTGTTTTCACACAATACTGTATTGCATAAAAAACCTGAATTTTTAACAGAGCAGGTATGCCAACCTAGGCAGCAATAAGCTCAAAGTATAAAAAAATTCTATATCAGATTCACATTAACAACAATTTAAATGACTGAAAATCATAATATAAAACCCTATACAAATTTATTTCATTATAAAATATTTTGAGGTCTACTTATTGCAATTCTCAATAAAATTAGCCTTGACATCCCTGTAAATGTTTGATATAGGCTCATTGACTTATTTGATGGATGAACCACATGAAAAGATTAATTAACAGGTCATGTCATGGCACACTAAATTGTGCCTTGCTATTAGTTGCTCAATACAAGCATATTAGTTACCTTGGATTAATGTCACTGATCATCATTAATGTATCCTTTGTTACCACGAGTGACAAGTGTCATCAATGCATAAAATAATGCATGAAACTTTCATTTTATTTTTGCAAGGAACATGAACATTTAATCAGTGGCAACATCCAAAATGTTAATAGAAAAATGAGCAGAAATGTGACATTATAACATTAGTACTGGGTATAAGAACCTCTCATATTTATATGTTGGACATTTTAACTTACTTGGCAGTAGTCAGGAGAACATATAGAGAAACAAATCCTTGTTGGAATGTCGTAAAATATGGATTTTCTTTATTGGGACTGAAGAAATAAAATCCCAGCGTGGAGAAGATGACGAGGACGAAAAATAATATCCCCAACACCTCAAGAATTGGCGGCACAGACTGCAGAATTTGTCGAAGAAATCTAATAAACGAGAATGATAAATGATGAATATAATAACCAATAAATTGCATGTTATGAGAATGTTGATAAAATTTTTATGATACAGTACAGTAAATCTATAACGGCTCAACAAATAAGAAAACATCCCTCAACATCCAATTTCAATTTCCTCAGCTTTCACCTGTATTTACCACATGCATTTTTGGGATGAAAAATGCCTGGACAAATAACTAGGCTTTCCATTTCTATGAAAAGCTTCTTTCTGAGCAGGTCACACAGTTGCTTTTATGCAATGACCTGCTCTCCCAAAGACCAGACCATACAAGGCCATAAGTGGCAGTAACCAAGACTGGAGATGTCTCCATTTAGAAATTAATGACATCCAGGTTTATTAATTATCCTCAAATCCCCCCCTTCCAAGCAATACTAATTCTCAAAGATCACAAAGAAGTACTGCTATGCAAAGTGCTCGGCAGCTCACCTGGCAGATAGCCCCAGGCTGCCGACAGATGTCACCACATACAATGTCAATGCATAGCAAAGACCTGCCCACCTCAAAAAAAAAAACCTGACTAAAACCAGAGATAACAGGTAATATCTTGAGGTTATCTTGAGATGATTTCGGGGCTTTTTTAGTGTCCCCGCGGCCCGGTCCTCGACCAGGCCTCCACCCCCAGGAAGCAGCCCGTAACAGCTGACTAACACCCAGGTACCTATTTTACTGCTAGGTAACAGGGGCACAGGGTGAAAGAAACTCTGCCCATTGTTTCTCGCCGGCGCCTGGGATATTCTATGAAGTTGAAACAAAACAAAGGAATTGGTATAGAGTGTACCCTTCTCAGAAAGAAGTTTTCATCTACCCTCAGAGCCTCATTTCTAAGCTTTACCACACTCTTGACTAAGGGAAGCAAATATAGCCATAGAAAATGTAAGAATGTAAATCCTTACATCCGTAAATCCTTGCACAGGACGTAAATCCTTACGTCCTGTGCCCATGAGCACAGGACGCTTGCTCATGTTACAAGTCAGTGGAGGCCATGGAGTATGAGGAACACCATGCCCTGGAAGGAGACATCTTGGTACACAAGACCTCAACTTATGCACCTCAGTTTTCATTCACTAACATTTTATTTGATAAAAAACCATCTCTTCTCCCCTCTGAAATGGTTGAAACATTTCTTCTCAATCACTTAGTGCTGTCATCATATTAAACTTTGACCTTCATCCCCATAGGGAAGATTTCCAAGAAATATTTTAGGGCTTAGGAAAGTCATAGTAATTGTGAGGTTGGCAAAGTTCTTACTACCAACAACTACTAGTTCTTACTACTTACAAAGTTCTTACTCTATTAACAATGTACTGTACTATAAGAGGTGAACTCTTGAGTGGTGGTCTGGGATATTGGCCAATGGCCAAGTAAACCAACTACCAATTAACAAAGCAAAAACTTTAGTCAATGAGGCTTAATTCCACTTGAAAGAAGATTTCAAGTGCTCAAGAGAAATTAGCCTTCTGGATGTCATTTCAGGCTAGACAGAGAAATTTCCAGTTTCTTCTTTGCCCACTGATGGCATGACTAAGTACATTTGTTGTGTGGTGATCATGTAGGGAGGGCAAGAGACTGCTACGGGAACAATCTAGTTGTATAGCTCAGTAACCGTAAGCTTAGAGGCTACCATTGTTTTTGTTTTGCCCTCGGGTTTGTAAAGACACAAACATGCACAACTCCATTGCCATCAGGCACCAATGAACTTGCTGTAACAGTGAAAGGGAAATTATTGATAAGTGAAAGGGGAATTACAGTATTGACAAGTTAAAGGGGATTTATTGATACTGTACATAATTTAATTGATCAAATATCAGCAACTGTGAGAACTACTCAGAAAAGACTCATAATAGTACAGTATATGATTACCTGCATGCAGTATGCTTTATCACACCTATAACATGATATATGTGGGCTGTATGTGGAACAAGAGACAGCGACTTAAAAGTGTGGGAAATATACGACGACTCATCTAGTGGTCAATTGTAATAAAAAGGGAACCCAATCCACTAAAGGAGCACATGCTAATTCAACAAGAATTAAGGAATATTTTAATTTAAAATTAAATACACAGAAGAGACAAGTAAGGTATTAAGGCAACCAAGGCAAGATTAATTATAAATTATTTATACTGTAGTTAAAATTGACCGAACCGAAACTTTCCAAGGGACAGTGTAGCACATACATATGCACTAAATTAAGCCAAAGATAGCATATTAGGCCTAGGAATGCTTATTTAGTGAAATATCTGGTATGTAATGTCCAGCTTTTGTTATTTATTTATTTTAACTTTTGTATTTTTTGCCCTGTTTAATTGGAATTGTTTATTAGTGTGTGTGTGAAGTTGGTTTAATTTTTGTGACTTAATTTTCATGTTACATCTGCCAGTGTTTGTAAGTATGTTAAGTTGTGCATCAGATAATGTCTGTTAGTGGATTTCCTGTGCATTTTTGTGTAGCAAGCCTCGACTTGCCATGTCCTTGAGCACGAAGAGGAAGAGCCTTAGCTAATAAGATACAGAGGTGTGAGTGAGGCGTCCACCTTACTGTTATGAGGTTTTTACCCCCAGTTTTGCTCTCCACACTACAGAGATCTGTGAAGTCATATGTAAATGTGATTTATTCCAAGTTGTGTGTCCCAATTCACACGTCTTTTTAAAATAAATGTAACACACATGCCTCACTGGTTTGTTTACATCCTTAAAGACAACAATAGTGGTGTGTCATTCACTTGGTATTCCCTCTTGTATTTGAAGTACATTGTAATATATCATATTAATATTTGGGAAATACACAAATATAAGTAGAGTACTGTAATGAAATTTACTGTAAAGTTGACCCACCTCCTCCTCCTTACATTAGGCTTAGGATAAGTTAGGCACGATTTTTTTTTTAAGTTACTGTTGTATTTTAAAGCCTGCCATTTAGGGTAATCAGATAATACAAAACATTACCTTTTTGGGTTCAACAGTCCATTTTTGTCCATTTAACCAAACAGTTACTGTAAGTACTATCAGTCCTGGGAGGATGGGCTCAGATAACAGGGTAATTAGAGCCTGGTGTGCGAGAAGCATCCTCGGTGGACACTGGCGGTGGCAACAACCAGTAAGAAAAACAAGGAAAGTAAGCTCAGAATGCCATAGGAGTGGCACTACAGTGCAAGGAAGCCAAAGAACCATCAATGAAAATCATTGCCCTTAAACCACCAGAAATTTGTATAGTACTGTACTTCATTTTTGAAATACTAACCTGCGTACACCCCCCAGATATCTGCTATCGATGAAGAAGATGGGACGTAGCGCTCGAGTAACACGATACTTGGTATCATTTCTAGCAATCACAATTATTGCCTCGATGATCATCCCCACCAAGATTAGAGACTAAAGAAAAGTAGAGTAAATAGATATTATATTTAACTATTAATAGTACAAACTTCTACCATGCAATACCCTTAATCCTGCCATTGTCAGACATAAAGACAAAGTAATTATGAGGAGAAAGTACTGTACTAGCCATAATAATACTGTATTCTGTTGTAATTTGTTTTGTCGAAGACAGAAACCCTGTATTTTAGGCTCATAGCGAGGTTCCTCCCCCTCCCCACACACACACACACGAAGGTCGAACTATTGACCCTGTCTGGGATGCAACCCCCACAACAGTTGCCTAATTTCTGTGTTCCTATTTATTGGTAGGTAAACAGAGGCATTAGGTGCAAGGAAATGTACCCAACCACTTCTGTCCCACCTGGGAATCAAACCCAGGATCACCAACTATGGGTCAAGAATGAAGCCAACTGTACTACAATACACCAGTAACTGCTTTAAAACACAGTAAATCCCAAAATACTGCATGGCGATTGCCTACGCACAAAATATAAATATCTATGTAAAAATTGTACTTTAAACCCCTCTTAAATATTTTAGTTAAAAATAAATATTTTAAAATGCATAGTTATTGTAGCAAAGAATGAGTCACATAAATTAGTTTAAAGTTTAACTAACTGTAAAAGACTATGCCTAAATTGAATATGAACCAAAGTGGATTAAGAGATCAAACGGTTTATAAACCTGGGATGTGTGATGACAATTTTGTATACACAGTATATGGGGAGAGGAAAAAATTAGCAAATAAAGACAATTTACAAAAGAATGAATTAAGGTACAGGAAAATAATATTTTAACCCATTATCCTACTAATAATTACATTTAAAATGCAATCTTTATCGACTTACTTTAAGCAGGGAGCGTTTATGTTTTACGAACGTACGAATTCCTAGCCACCGTAGCTGCATGAATATGGATATTCCAAGCAGGAGGAGCCCAAACAGCTCAACAGAACCATGGACACCTACTGCAACTCCCTGAAGGCATTCCATACAGAAACCATTAGATGTTAATACAATAAAATGCAGCACATTTCTTAATATAAATATATACATGTACTGTAATAGTTATGCTCAAAACTGGCCAAATATTTGCTATCATTTGAAAAATTTAAATTCCATATTGATAGTAATATAAAGCGCACAAAGCAGTAACTCTACACCTAATAAAGCCGAACCAATCAATTGTACTAACCTAACCTTTAGTACACAATCTATGTTAATTTTGTGGGAATTTTATAACAAAATAGGCTCTTTTTCCCCATTTTAGCAAGTCAAGTCTGCTCTCAATGTGATGATTATACTCTACTGTAAATCATTTTGTGGGAGGGATTACATTTTTTAAGTTTGGATTTATTAATTAATAATTAAGTGGATAATTAAGGTTGTGTGTATAGAAGTGAAAGTAGGCATGTGTAATTTAAGTAATTACAAGACGAGCGCTATGGTCGAGGCATTTCGTATTCTCTATACAAGTCCTCATCTTATGAGGTTTAGAAGCTTTAGATTGTTTTGCCATCCATGTATTTAAAGGCAATTTTGAATTCACCAGTTTAATATCAATGATCACTAATCTCTTCGATAGTTCTGCGAATTCTTACAAATAATTTGCAAACTGAATATGGCTTGGTTTCTCTTAATAAATGATATAATAGTGCTGAATAACATTAAATTCCCATTTGCTTTGTAATGCTCAATGCACTTGTTTTGTCAGTCATTTTTAAAGGTCTATGGAAATCATTACATTCTGGGGTGGATCACATATTTTTCCAGTGTCTTTATTCTTAACATTAGTATGAGCAAACAAGGAACATGTCAAATTCCCAGCCACACTAGTGGCTAACGTCAGCCTGCCATGACTGCAGTAGATCTAACCCAGAGAGTAGCATCTTACCTCTGGAAGCAACCTTTCATGGCTTCCAGAGGTAATTGCTTTCACAATTCCACCATTGTGGAATAGCTCAGAGAATATTTGAAGAGATCCAACCCAAATTGAATTTAGAGAGACTTGTCAGAACATTTTAATATTGCACCCATAAATACCAAGCTCAAAATCATTAATTCTCACTGGAAAGACAGCTGGAGGCTCTACAGTTGCCAGAGACATGAGGAGAAGAGCAGCAAACAGGTCCAGAGAATAAAACCAGTGGTTGTGCGTAACAATGTAGGCAGGAAGAGCCCTTCGATCCCGTGGATGGCTGTTGAATTTGTCATTGTTTTCACCTTCCTAGAAATTCACAATAAATGTTAGTATTGAAATTGCACACAGATTCATCACGGATGACATCCATTTTATTATGTAGTATAAAATACTATATTCACAAATGAGGTCTATGGACCAGATGATTCTTTCTATCCATGAATTCCCATTTTAAAAGAATATACCATATACAGTATACTAAACTTCAATAGGTAAACAAATTTGAAAATTGTTAACAAAACTGACAATTTTTAAAACAGTACTGTACTGTACATGCATTATCATTTTTAATACAGTACCATTATTTAAATTGCTCGTCAATTTCACTTCACCTTCCAATACTGGAATGATCACAAATTATACAAAACTCTTATACATCAGCTATAACAAGCATACTCAATTATTCCTTACGAACACAATGCCTCCATTCCTCAATACAGTACTACATCTCTATTAAACATTAGGGTCCAAAAATTTTCCCTTTTAATTACTTCCACTACTCCACACACCTCTAAGAATATCGAAGCTTCGTGGTAATTCATCTTCCAACTGCTGGCAATACACGTGGATGGAGATTGGACACCATTTTCACGTAGTTCTTGATATTCACTGGCATCCGAATCCACACTAGTATTGCCATATTCATTGGGAATGTCACTTATATTGTGTTTTCCTTGGCTACTTTCACTCTCAGTTGACATCGAAGCTGGGGATAAATTATACAGGAGGAAGACTGTCAAGTTATGCATGTTCAGTACAGTATATTTAAGAAACCATACTTAAGGATCTAATGGAAAAAATAGTGTGTGTACTATTTACAAATAATATTAAACAAATTTTAAAGATTAAATAATGTAGTGTCAAATGTTAAGGTATATAACAATAGATAACCATTTTCTTTAAACCTTATACTGTTCATACAGAGATATCTCGGCTGATGGGATGTGCACTCACTGAGAAAGCTCATTTGTAGGTACATAGGGCAAGTAGAAACATTTTAAAAAATGGTAACCAGCTTCTCATACAAGGGACTTCTCAAGGGATAAAGATCTGCCTGAAACGCTGCTCGTACTAGTGGCTTTACAAGATTGTAATTACTATACTATGTATCCTCAATCCCAATGTACCTTCTTGAAAATAAAATAAAATAAAATAAAATAAAAAATAAAATAAAATAAAATGAAAATAAATTAAAATTAAAAATTAAAAATATAAAAATAAAAATTAAAATTAAAAAAAAATAAAATAAAATATAAAATAATATAAAATTATATAAATAAAATAAATAAATAAATAAATAAATAAATAAACAAACAAACAAACTTCCAGTAGATGTAATTAACATGGATTTTGTTAAAGCCTTTGATAAGGTACCACACAAAAGACTGACAAGGAAATTACAGACTCATGGAGTAAATGGTAGAATACTGTAATTGAAAAAAAAAATGGTTGAAACAAAGAAAAAGGGTCGTGGTAAATAGGTCTATATCTGACCGGAGAAATGTGGTAAGTACTCACCTAATTGTGCTTGCGGGGGTTGAGCTTTGGCTCTTTGGTCCCGAGCTAAGTGGGGTACCTCAGGGGTTCATTTTGAGGCCAACCCTTTTTTGTCATTTACATCAATGACAGATGAGAATATTACAACCCATATCATCAAATTTGCAGATGACACAAATATATATGGTAAAGTGGGAAATAATAATGATATTGGAGCCCTACCAAGAGTTCTACATGAGCGCTACAAATGGTCAAAAAATGCAAAAGCTTTTTATTTTTAAACACCTGTATTGACAAATCCAAGACCATGCATGTGGGGCTTATCAACCCATGCCACCACTACTAAATTAATAACATTCCATTACAGCAAATTGATGAAGAAAAAGAACCTTGGAGTCAAAATCCACCACTCACTGGAAGTTGCACAACACGTAGGAGCAGCCACCCAAAAAGCTACCCAAACCCTTCAAATAATCAAACATACCTTGACTTTAAGGAAAGTTAGGTAGCGATTCAATTTTGTAAATCTCTGGTGCAGCCCCATTTGGATTACTCTATCCAAGCATGGAGTCCCCATCTTCAGAATGACATAGCTGCTCTGAAGAAAGCCTCAACACTTGACAAAAATCATTTCAGAGCAAAGTCAACTTTCTTATCAAGAATGGTTGAGGGCCACAGGGCTAAGAACACTGCAAACCAACCATGACCTTTGAAACTTTTAAAATACTGAACAATTTGATGATGGGAAATTACTGAACAATTTGGTGATGGGACAGGGGCATTAGGTGATGTGAAATGTGGCCAACCATTTCTCTCCCGCCCGGGATTCGAGCCAGGAACTCTCGATTATAAGTCGAAAACGAACTTTACTGTATTACAGACCCTCTGATAATTCTTTAATTATTTCCCAGGAAATGCCACACACCGTTAAATAAACTGATTTTCAGAGGTGCACAGAACAGTCTCACTTCAAATTTATTCTACCTAAACCTATATAAAAAAAAAATATATGTAAAGTCAGCGACAAGGAGAGAAGTGATCTTTGTGTTCCAAACCTTCAGTTCACAAGTCTCACAGTTCAGTCTTGAAGATGCTCACTGAATCCCCCGAGTTGACACATGAAGATCTCGTTAATTACTACTTTAGTGAGTGTAGAGACATACCGCGGTTAGACTGGGTGTCACTAGACGAGTGGAAAATGCTGGCAAAGCTCTCGACACGGCCCCGTCGACCCTCCACCTCCGACATGTTTGTCAACACTACTCGACCAGTGCTGCCAACTACACCAAAATAAATATACTGTATCCCTATGGATATCCACGGGATGGGTATGGGGTGCATAATAAAGAAAGAAATTGATATATATATATATATATTTTATATTTATATTTTATATATATATATTTTATATTTATATTTTATATATATATATTTTATAGATATATTTATTTCCCTATGGATATATTTATTTTGTTTGAAATAGATCCGGAATGGATATATTTATTATATAATATTTATTATTATATTTATTATATCTATTATATTTATTATATATATGTTATATTTATTATTATATTTATTATTATATTTATTATATATATATATATATATATATATATATGTCGTACCTAATAGCCAGAACTCACTTCTCAGCCTACTATTCAAGGCCCGATTTGCCTAATAAGCCAAGTTTTCCTGAATTAATATATTTACTATAATTTTTTTCTTATGAAATGATAAAGCTACCCTTTTCACTATGTATGAGGTCAATTTTTTTTTATTTGAGTTAAAATTAACGTTGATATATGACCGAACCTAACCAACCCTACCTAACCTAACCTAACCTATATATATAGGTAAGGTTAGGTTAGGTTAGGTTAGGTAACCTACCTAACCTATATATATAGGTAAGGTTAGGTTAGGTAGCCAAAAAAAGCTAGGTTAGGTTAGGTAGGTTAGGTAGACGAAAAAACATTAATTCATGAAAACTTGGCTTATTAGGCAAATCGGGCCTTGAATAGTAGGCTGAGAAGTGAGTTCTGGCTATTAGGTACGACATATATATATATATATATATATATATATATATATATATATATATATATATATATATATATATGTCGTACCTAGTAGCCAGAACTCACTTCTCAGCCTACTATGCAAGGCCCGATTTGCCTAATAAGCCAAGTTTTCATGAATTAATGTTTTTTCGTCTACCTAACCTACCTAACCTAACCTAACCTAGCTCTTTTTGGCTACCTAACCTAACCTTACCTATATATATAGGTTAGGTTAGGTTAGGTAGGGTTGGTTAGGTTCGGTCATATATCTACGTTAATTTTAACTCCAATAAAAAAAATTGACCTCATACATAGTGAAAAGGGTAGCTTTATCATTTCATAAGAAAAAAATTATAGTAAATATATTAATTCAGGAAAACTTGGCTTATTAGGCAAATCGGGCCTTGAATAGTAGGCTGAGAAGTGAGTTCTGGCTACTAGGTACGACATATATATATATATATATATATATATATATATATATATATATATATACCCACCACCAATATACGAAAAAGCTACCCAAACCTTAGGAATAATAAAGAGTACCTTTACCTTTAAGGAAAACAAGGTAGTCATCCAATTGTATAAGTCTCTGGTGCGTCTGGATTATTGCATTCAGGCATAAAGACCTCATCTTCAGGAGGTCTCATCTTGCTGTTCAGGAAAAGTGCAACACCGGGCAACAAAAATCATTCCAGAGCTAAGTTGTGTTGATTTAGGGGCGACAATTCCAGAGCTAAGTCAACTCAGGTATCAGGAACGGTTGAGGGCCACAGGGCTAACACCACTGCAAACAAGGCATGACAGGGTGGATCTCATTGAAACTTTTAAACTACTTGTTACGGTAATCTCCTGCTTAGCAGTTGATCCTGTCTGTTCCTTTGCCGCCTATTCACCAACGTATCTGCATGCTCCAACTTCAAGATTCAACATCAACGATAACAACAATATGTGCCTAAATGTATGTCTAGATAGTTCGTGTCTCCCCCCCCCCTCCACCCTACAGTACCCGAGACACCTGCTGTCTCGCCGGTTGACCAGACGCCACCAGCTAACTGCCACTCTCGATCGTTTAACTGCTGGCTTCTCTAGAATTCGCGCCAAATATGACGTCACGCCCCATATATAAGGGTTTGCCAGCGCCCAGCACCTCCACGAGAGACATCTCCCGTCACACAGGGTGCAGTCGCACCTCCACAGATCTCCAGTATCAGCTCTTGATACTGGTAATGGCTCAGAAGGGCCACCACTTACGGGCTATTCATGCCCGTGCCACCTCTTGGGTGGCTTAATCTTTATCAATAAATCAATCTGAAAACAGAATGTTTTGTCACCCACAAAGTTATAAACCCATGAAGTCACTTACCCGCCAAAGCCGTAAATGCCAAAATTCTGTTAATTTTGGAAAATCCCACTGGAAAATATCAAGACCACTGGGGGGGGGGGATCTTCGACAAGCCACCGGCTTCCTGACCTCGTCGAGGCCACTAGTGTTAGTGACCTTCAGGTAAATTCAGGTAAGTGCAACAGGGTATGATTAGGAAATAGTGTTTGCTTATAAATTTAAAAGAATTCAGGGTGAACGTCGAAGAAATAGTAGTAGCCTCAAACGTACTAAAAAAAACACTGGATGAGTAATTTTCTGTGATTCAAATTACATTTTTTTTCAAATACTTAAAAACTCGACTGACAAGATACTAAAAAATATTGTAACATCAATACACAGAGCACGAGTTAGTCTCATTTGTGTGGATGTTCCATCTCACATTGGTATTGTTCAATATGATGACGAAACTAACATGGCGGCTGGAGCTGCATGTGATAGCATGAAACTGAGTTAGATGTTGCTGTTCTAATTCCTATTGTAAAAAATAAAACTACTTCAGGAAATTAGGGACGGCAGAAGAGCAGTCCTTGACACACATTAAAGCGTATAGAAAGCACGAATATAAATGAGAGCTATGATGTGCTTAGAACCGAGAACTACATTTTATTTATTTTTATATACAATACTTATTACATTCTTGTACAGCCACTAGCACGCCACATAGCGTTTCGGGAATGTCCTTAATCCTAATATTCCCCGGAATACAAATTGTTTAACAGCGGACCCATTTTACTGTTGGGTAAACAGAGGCTACAGTTCAGAATTGATGCCCAATAAATCCTCCCCGGCCAGGATACGAACCCAGGACAAAATGCTCGCGAAACGCCAGGGGAGTGTCTTACCACTTCACCAAGGGGACTGTTAATATGTTTGAACAGCACAAAACGTCTACTAGACAGTGTGACATTATAACTGACATTGATATTTATGGTTGCAGATAATGCATACCTCCACTGTGTGCATGTCGCAACTATGTGCGACACACTTTCCAACAGATACATTATATCTGTGACTGGCTTGTTATCAATGATTTCTGACCAAATGATACGAGATACCTAAGCTCTGTAACTACTTCATACACTCGTAATATTGGATTTTCTTGTGCTCTGCCCAGCTTTTCCTAATACAAATTAATAGATTAGACTCACACTTGTTCTCCCCTGATTCCATGTATGACTAACCATCATGCGAGATGGGGATATCAGACGAATTCCTAGCGTGCTTTTGATCTACACTCTGCAATCCTTCATATAGAATAGGGTAGCAACGCATTGCTGCGTATAAGGTAAACTTGTTAGCAAAAATAGTGTTATTTTTGTATGTACTAACTCTATCTATAAATCTATAATTTTTTGTAAAGCCTCTTGTATGTGTGTACTTTACCCGAATAAACATTTATTATTATTTATAATATATTGTGTTCCTGAACGCGTTATTTACCCGAGGGCCACTAACACTATAGTGACCTCGGCTAGGACAGGAAGCCTTGATGATCTTGACAATCATTAATGCATTATCTATGTAATAATTACCGAGAGCAAGAATAAGATCAAAAGAAAAACAAATAAAACTAAAATAAATCACAGATCATAACAAAATATAATACAAGGTCATCAATATTATCTTCAAACGCCCATCACATCCCAGCATTACCAACTCAGCGACGTACCCCACGAAGTCTAGCGGCATTTGCTATAATATCCCCCGTGGACCTACTTACAGTCACAGCCCCGCTCCTGTGCCAGGTAAGTTCATTACAGGCTCACCATAGCCCTTGCTACTTGCCCCGCTCCTGTGCCAGGTAAGTTACGGGCTCACCATACTCCGTGCTACTTGGAACTTGTCCCGAGTAGCTGAATCAATAACATGTTTACAGTAAAGCACAGCCCTGGATTAACCATTAGGCTACACAAGCACGTGCTTAGAGCACCAAGAGGAAGAGGCTACCACGCTGTATCTTAGAGCACCAGGGAATGGGGGCGGGGGTTACCAAAAGTACCGATACATACCATAGCTGTATAATAATAATAATACTTTATTTACATACATAAGATACATGGACAGAGGAAGATACACAGGAGAGACAAGTAACATTGCATGAAACTACTAATTAGCCTTTATGTCAAAATAAGTAACAAGGAAATTAACTGTGAACAAATGATAACTGATGACGTTAATGACCGCTCGTAACAAGCCTAATTAATGTAATGACTGATAACAACAGAATGCTGTGGGAGCCGTGGTCCTGGGATATCAAAGAGATATCACACTTGGGATATCAGAGATATTTGTTCCTCGTGTGATGTCCATGGGTTGTGTTACAGCCGTCAAGAAGGTGCTGTAGGTCAGAATTAGCATTGCCGTGTAGAGTTTTATACACATGTAGAGCACACTTGCCAGGATGTGCAGTTACTCGATGCTTATTAACACATTCAAGGATTTCAGTAAGGGAAGGGAGCAGAGTGCTGTCTGGGACTAGAGTTTGTAATAGCTACGATTGCTGGTTTATGTTGAGTAATTAGTGGTTAAAGGTCTGGTGATCCCCAGGGGATCCATTGTAGAAGAACTAATCACCCTGGGGATCCATTGTAGAAGAACTAATCACTCCTGGGGATCCATTATAGAGGCACTGATCACCCTGGGAATCCATTGTAGAGACTGATCAGACAGATTGCAATATATTTTTGCTACACTGTATATGGCACTAGAAATTCAACCTGTTATCAATGAGAACGTCAAGGAATTTATCATATACGAACTATATTCGTTCCTATCTCAGTGACAGACACCAATTTGTTTTTATTTATACAAGAGTTCTTACATACTTGTACAGCCACCAGCACGTATAGCGTTTCGGGCAGGCCCTTAATCTTAATTTTCCCCGAAATACGACCCGCCAAATCGTTTAACAACCGGGTACCCATTCACTGCTGGGTGAACAAAGGCTACAGTTAAGGATTGGCACCCGGTCAATCCTCCCAGGCCAGGATACGAACCCAGGCCAAATCGCTTGTGAAGCTCCGGGCGAGTGTCTTACCACTGCGCCACGGGGACTGGCATATGCAATATGCACTCAAATATGTAGCCATCGATAACATAACCTCCCCCACTCAGCCATTAACAATAGGAGTACCACAGGGCAGCATCTTTGTACTTCTCCTATTTCTTTTATGCATCAATGATTTGCCATTTTTTTCTAACACTCTTAAACCTATACTATTTGTTGATGATACTACCCTCATCTATTCTGACCCTAACTCGCCCCTCCCCCACACTAAATAACAGTCAAAAATGAATTAAAAAACCCACTCATGGATGTCGACTAACAAACTCAGATTAAACATAGACAATACTTACATTTTATTTGGTAGTAAATCATCAAATCAAAGTCAAATTCAGATAAACAATGTTAACATTAGCAATAAAATGAGGAAAAGTTCCATGGCATATAAATAATCAAAAGACTGAACTTCAGCACCCACACACAAAACATACCCAAAAAAAGTATCAAAAACAGTTGGTATACTTTCTAAAATCAGATATTAAGTTCCCCACTCTCCTCTCCTCTCATTATACAGAATCTGCAGTTAATCTACAATTATGCATAATCTACAGGCCCATTCAAGGCAAATGGGGGGGGGGAGACTTTCGACAAGCCGCCAGCTTCCTGTCCTCGTCGAGGCCACTAGTGTTAGTAGCCCTAAGATAAATTCAGGTAAATATACCTGATGAACAAGTATATTTATACTGGCCGTACACTGAATGACAGACTTAAAGAACACAAGAGAAGTGTTAAGTCTGCAGACACCAACAGTGCTCTCTTCTGCCATGTGAGGGATTCTAATCATCCCATTGATTGGTCTTCCTCCAAAATAATCTTTCCTGCCTCTACTTTACACAGACGCCGTCTTGTAGAATCGGCTCTAATACACAATGTACCCAACATGAACTTGAGTCCTGGCTTTGTTGCTGTGGACTCTTCCCTTTCACAGTATATACTCAAATGCTCTAATCTTTCTAACAAACGTGACTTAACATAAGCTTACCCCTTCCATTTATCTTTCTTTCTCTTTCCTTTTCTTTCTCTCTTCTCCCCTTTTTCTGTTCATTGTCTTCTCCTACGCTCCCTTGCTATCCTTTTCTTATTCCTATTACTATCACCTTCGGTGGTTATAATAGGAGCTGCCTCGTATGGGCCAATAGGCCTTCTGCAGTTCTCATTATTACTACTATCCCCTACACCTTACTTTCCTCCTCAGCTCTCTCTTGCCTATTTATTGCCTGTCTCTACCTCCTCATCACCATTTGGTCACCACTTGGTCCGGGAGACATCTCCCGTCACGCAGGGTGCAGTTGCGCCTCCACAGATCTCCAGTATCATCTTTTGATACTGGTAATGGCTCGAAAGGGCCACCACTTACGGGCTATTCATGCCCGTGCCACCTCTTGGGTGGCTTAATCTTCATCAATCAATCTCCTCATCACAATCGACTTGAGAATGGTCCAGGGCGGACCGAAACGTCGTCGTTCCTTCAACTTCTAGTGTGTGGTCTGGTCAACATACTTCAGCCACGTTATTGTGACTCATCGCCTGCATAAATTCAGGTAAATATACCTGATGAACAAGTATATTTATATAATATATATTTATAATTTATTTATGAACATGAATATTATTTATGAAAAAGTATATTTATATACTATATATTACATATATATTTATAGGTACACAATATATTTATACTTAGCCTCACTGTATTGGGAGTAAACATTTATAGTGAGGCTGCCTGTGGTGCTGGTCAAGTGTCCCCGGGCGGTGATTGGTTGTGGGCGAGGCGCCCGCTGATTGGTTGTCCTGGTTGTCCATGTGTACATACCTGGACCCTCTGGATCACTGTCACCTTTACCTGCAGGCATCACCAGGGCTGTCACCTCCACACCTCACCAAGGAGGCTGTTATTATGGTGCCTGAGCTTCCGGCAAGGGTGTGTACATTTCTCTGTACATGTGCAGGTTGCATGCTAATATGTCGTGTTGCTAGCAGCTGCATAGTTAGTGCTGGTGTTGTATATAGAGTGACTATTCATTTATTTATTTATTTATATATATATACAAGAAGGTACATTGGGATTGTGAGGATACATAGCATAGTAATTACAATCTTGTAAAGCCACTAGTACGCGCAGCGTTTCGGGCAGTAAAGCGTTTGAGACTATATCTCCAACTCCAAACAGCATGGAGTATCCTTATTTAAATCCACGAACGAGCTAAACATTACTATACACATTCTCATGTTTACTCTCTGTCTACAAAACATTTAAATTTTAATACAAATCCCGACCTCAAAAATGCTTCAACAGAAACTCAACAACACAGGATACGCCAGCGTCTCACTGATGTTCCTCGAGTTCAGCTCGACCAAGCCAAAATTTTATGAATATATTGGGTACTGAATTGTGGAATAACCTCCTAAATGCAATGAAATGTTATATGGTCTTATAGGACAGTTAGCTTCGTTCTCAACTCGCAATTGGGGACCCTGGGCAGGATTTAAATGGCTGGTTACCTTGAGGTGCTTCCGGGGCTTAGCGTCCCTGCGGCCCGGTCGTCGACCAGGCCTCCTGGTTGCCGGACTGATCAACCAGGCTGTTGGACGCGGCTGCTCACAGCCTGGTTGATCAGGTATCCTTTGGAGGATATCTGGGGATGTATATTATTGCTGTAGCTTACAGATTTCCTTCTCAAATGTAATATAAGCCTATATCAGATTAAATTTGTGTATTTTTCATTTCTGTATATTGAACAGATTATGTTCATGTATAATACCTGTATATTTTATTCTTGCAGACTTGAAGTCAAAAAGCTGATTGCACCTGCTGCTTTCATTGAAAGGCAAGTTGATAAAATTTTCTTAATTCTAAAGTGTGTTGAATTACAGTGGCTAATAATATGTATATAAAGAATGTTTGCATGTTAATTCTGAATAATGCGGTAGAGTTGTCTCAATGGTTTACCTATTCGTGTTAACTCATCCTTGTCTATACTGTATACTAATTTGTGTACACTAAATAGATTATGGATGACTACGACTGATCCAATTTGGTAGGAATTGAACTAGTAAGGGTACATAAGAAGAGTTGTGACTATTAATGTTAATGGGCAGTCCAATGTTTGTGAGTGAAGGAAGGTACTGTATATAAATGGACTTTCACAAGTACTTTAAAATGGAGTGCTCTTACTTTAGACATCAGCTTGCAAGAAGCTAAAACTGATGCTCAATACTTGAAATAATTACAGTATCTAATTCTTCACTTGCTAAGCCTTGCAAATTATTAGGTACTGGTAGGAATGTCTAAGGACTCTATTGGTTTAATTTAAAATTGTTCTTATAAGTTTCTTTTTTCTTTTTCTTTTTTAACTTATTTTCTGGTCATTACAATATACCAATTGTTTCTGTTTGTAGATAAAGTTTACTGGCATGGTTTACTAATGTGAAATAGATTTTCAGTTTCCTGAAACAGCTTATGATTCATTTATTCCTAGCTCATTCACATATATTAAGTGAATAAATTATTAATTAAACCTTTAGGAAATGTGTAACATTTGGGCAGCCCCTTGTGAATGTGTACATTATTGTATGGTTTATCCTAATAATGTGCATGTGATCCTTAACCCAACCACTTGACTTAACCTAATATTGTGGGTGTGAACCTTAACCAACTACTTTACCTATCTGAATGTTGAGAGTTTAAACCTAAACCAACAAACACCTTGTCCTAATCACTGCCATAACTGCACAAACAATTCTTGTGCTCTCATTTCTATGTTCCATCTATGACACTTCTTCAGTTTGAAAATTGTGCACGATTCGTATGTTCTGTTGTCTTGAGCAGTGTTACTAAAGTCCCAGGTTATATGAAATGACTGTAGTACTTGCAACAACTCATGATTTCAGTACAGTAATGTATATATTTGTGAAGCTTAGTTGGGTAATGATTCTGAATATTGCAAAAAGAAACTATCAAAATATTTCAGGAAACTATCAATTTAATGAAAGACAAAGATAAAGGACTGGAGTGTGACGGGAATACAGACGTGAAAATAAATTGACTGGTAAAAAAAAATATGCTAATATGAGATAGTGGACCACATCATACAGAATAAAATAGTGTCCGAGGCAGTGAGAGATATGAAAATGCGTGGAGGTTGTTCTGCCTGCGTTACATTGCTGCAGATTGAATGATAGACTAATTTTTATATTCGTTTGCAATAGCTGTTACCTAAATTTCATGTTCACTGTTACAGGGGTTGATGCCAGAAGGAATGAAGACTGCTGCAAAATTTAATTAGACACCTCTTGGATTTGTTTGATCTGATATATTATAAGAACAAAGGAGGTTCAAGAATATTTATCACAGATCTTGAAAAAATCTTCTGTTTACTTATATAAAATAACAGAACAGACTAAGATAATGAGTGAGTGGTCTGCAATTGCTCATGAATATGACCCTCTTGCTGCTGGAAGTATAGATGGCACAGACACTGAGCCACATGACCGAGCAGTATGGAGGGCAATGAATGCTCATTATGTGCCCCCTGACACACAGTCTAAACCAGAACACACATTATTTGTTGGTCGTTTGCCTCGTAGTCTTGGGGAGGAACAGTTGTCTGAAAAATTCTCTAGATTTGGTGCACTTCAAAGTGTTCACTTAATAAGAGATATTGTAACTGGCCAGAGTCGAGGATATGGCTTTGTGGAATTTCGGCGTGAATGTGATGCAGCATGTGCTTTCAGAGAGAGTAATGGTTTTGAAATCGATGGTCGCCAAATAATAGTAGACTGGGAAGTTGGACATAAAATGAAGGGCTGGATTCCAAGGAGATTAGGAGGAGGGTGGGGAGGTCGAAAAGAGGCTGGTCAACTTAGATTTGGGTGTCGTGATCGTCTGTGGAGGAAGCCTATTATCATACATCCTCAGCAACCCCCAGAAAATATAGCAACTGATAATAGGCATCGAGATGGTAATAGTTTTTCTGATAGGCGAAGACATAGGGATAGAAGTATGCCAGGTGACAGAAATAGTAGTAGTAGCCAACATAAGCGACGTGATGAAGGGACCCGTGAAAGAGAGAGATTTTATGATCGTAGAAGAAGCAGGAGCCGTGAAAGAAGTGGCAATTCCTCCCAACACAGAGATGGTCGCAAAGGAAGACATGTTTCATGAGAAATTTGAACTTTAACACTTTAGTTCTTGATTGCAAATAATGTCCTGATCTTGAAAGGTCATAATAATTTGTATTTTTCCTGTTAATTTTTATCTGAATCATGTTATTCCATCATTATGTGGCAATCATAATGTTCAATTACAATTAATCCCTACTCAAACCTGGCCTTGGGCCTGGCTTGGGGAGTAGAACAACTCCCAGAACCCCATCAAGCAGGTTCTGTCATCTGACATTGTCCACACTTCATAAAATTAAAGGATATTTGTTATGTTTGAATCATAGGAGCAGCCAAGTGTTTGCTTTTCATAATAAATATCAAACTATAAATGACTTGGAAATATATGGTCATATTTTATGATCAGTATTTAAAATAAAACAAAAAACTCCAGACTATATATCAAGAACCCTTAGGTTTATTTTTATTTTACACTGTTCAGGAACTAAAGTGGATCATATAATACTATTGTATATTAGACAAAGTTTTAATATTTCAGTATTATCTCCACATCTGAAATGAGGGTGCTATTTGCTACGAGATTTATAAGACATGTTGCAGCTTTTGAATCCCTATTTGCCTCCCCATGACTGGTGTAAACCTCGGTTCATGTTTAGCGAGTCATTAATAACCAGCTCAAGTTGTGTGGCTAGCTTCCTACAAAGAATGCAGGGAGATTTATAATTAAAACTTACAAAACCCATTATTGGTGTTTTGGAAATTTAAGTAATTGCATGAGAGTTGATGTTTACACAAATGCCCAAAATATTGCCTGCTGTATTCACTTAGATGTGTACATACAGTATTATTTTGTGACGCAAATTAAACTAATATTCTTGCTATTGGTAATTCAAAGAAACCCCCCATTGTTTGGGTCTTTGTTTAAAATTTGTATTGTTAATCAAGTTGGCAGTGCCAGGTGAAGATGAAACTTGCTGTTTTGACTATCTTCATGAAATGTTACAGCATGTAAATGATGTGAAATTTATTCAAATAAAGTGTACTAGAGATTATATGTGTTAATTCTCATTATTAGAGGCTATATCACATGCATGTTGGAAAACTAAAATTTAACAGTTAAAATTAGTTTTGCCACTGTTCACTGGTTTGCCTTTAAGGAAGCATAATCCTCATTGACAGCACTTATTGACCCAAAATATAGAATGCATAGTCACAGTTGATAAGATTTCTAAATTTATGCATCCGAGTGAATGCTCTTGGGTGTGAAGCCGGAGGGAGACTAAATGTAAGAGATGAAGCATTTCACAATTTCTCTTTAGTAACAATTTGGCAATGGTAATGCATTGCTGAAATTTCGTGATTTAGTTTAGTTTGATGGCTTAAAATTTTATACATTTAACTTCTAATATTTTTTTGTCTCATGATAAGTTTTGCATCCTTAAAATTTGTTGGGGGAAGCTGCTCACTGTGTGTTATGCTGGTATTGTTAAAGGCAAAATACTGTCTAATAAAATCTACCCTCAATTTGGTATCATTACTTTGTGCTCTTTTCAAAACATTTTTTACTAATACAAGTAACTTTAAAGGATGATATGCCAAGAGTTATTGTACAGTATGTACAAAATTGGTGTACAGTACTATTGTAGAGTATGTACAAGATTGGTGTACATTACTATTGTAGAGTATATACAAGATTGGTGTACAGTACTATTGTAGAGTATATACAAGATTGGTGTACTGTTGTACAGTATGTACAAAATTGGTGTACTTTTGTACAGTGTACAATACTGGTGTACTATTGTTGGCTGTAAAAAAGCCTATTAGACTTCCAGGTTTCCCTAGACAATGGTTGGGATGTCCATGTTATCCGATTACTGGCCAGATCCAATGGTGCTTAACCAGCCTGACTGAGTGACGTGCATCACCCGATGAATGCCATATGTTCATAGTGAAGCAAAAGAATAATGTACTAAGCTTCTATTTCTTAAGAGTGCATCTACCAGGAATAATGTCTTTAGTATTGTGTCTATTAATCTATTAATCTGACTGTAAATTTGTTGATATATATATATATATGATTACTAATACTATTTTGAGTCAGTGTATAGTATATTGCCAGATTGAAGTTGGTATTTGAGGATAAATAAGTTTTATTTAACAAATTAAACCTAAACAATAATAATACTTTATTTGTAATAAGACTTATTTGCATATATTATTTCTTTAATGACAGTTCAAAGACAAATTGTGTTTAAATGGCAGGTAAGGATGTACTTAAAATATTTAAATACTAGGAAATTAATGAAAGACCATAATTCTTTTCTTTTTAGTTTACAATATGGCAGATACCAGACGTTTAGTAAGCGAGGGCCACAACAGCCAAATTGTGAAGTGTGTCCACTGTGATTCTCAAGTGCTGTCCCCAAAGTCAGCGACCTTCCTCAACGAACCTTATCCGCTACCCACACCTACACAGCCAAAAGATCAACCGTCTACACTGACTGAAGATGTGAGCACCTTGTATAAAAAGGACTTTTTGCCTATTTCAGTAAAATTCTAACCATTTACTTATGGTTTCTCTGTGTTGTTCAAATATTACCTGGTATTAATGGGAATTTTGTTATAATAAATGTTCTTGTTTAGTGTATATGTATATTCTGGTATATATATATATTTTTGGGTGTGCTGCAGCAATATCCATATTATTCTCTCCCAATAGCTGAACGAGTGGTGGGTGGTAGACGACATGTTCACATTTGACAACATTGGATTTTCTCACTCGGTTGGCAGTACCAAATACTTGGTGTGTGCAGACTGTGAGCGGGGGCCTGTGGGCTGGCACGACAACAATACTAGGAAGAGTTATGTGGCACTGGCAAGAGTCAAGCATTCATAGTTTATTTCCTTTTAAAGTTTTTTTTTTTTTCTAAAGAAATTATAAATTTTTAAAAAGATTAGTATCAAAAATATATCTACTGTATATGGTAAATTATGAGGATCAGTTTGTTATAACTTTAATACTGTATTAATTTTGTTCATTGCCAGGTGGGTAAAAAGATATTAGTGGTAAAGAGTCCACTTGCCCTGTTGGAAGGACATGTCAAATTGTCAGTACATGAGCAAGGCAAGCTGCAATATTTCTTACAAGTACTCATTAAACTCATTAAACCAGGCTGTAACTCATACGTCAGGCTGCGAGCAGCCGCGTCTAACAGCCTGGTTGATCAGTCCAGCAACCAGGAGGCCTGGTCGACGACCGGGCCGCGGGGACGCTAAGCCCCGGAAGCACCTCAAGGTAACCTCAAGGTAACCTCAAGGTAAGGGCTGTAAAATGTTCCTATGTCTTGACAGAGGAGCTGTCATTGTCAACATATCACTGTACCTGCAGAACTATTGGTGCTGCTCATGGTAGGAAGAGTACTGTGTGTATTGGAGGTTGCTCTTTTACTTAGCAGTTTTAGAGAAGTGCATAATTAGGATGAACAGTTTGCTTTCCACATTCCACAAAAAAGTTGCTCATCTGTTGGGAAAATATTTATAGTGCTACTTAGTTTCAATTATTTTTGTTAGTCTTGAAACTTTTTACTTTATTGCAGTAAAGGATTTCAAACATTTAAATTTTATAAAAGGTATTACTGTATTCTAGTACTATATATATATATGAAATTACAGTATATACTTTGTATACAACTCAAGTACGCTATTTCTTCTCATCTTTCTGAAGACTATATGAAAGCTATAGGGTCTGTTTGTAGACAACTTAAGTATGCTATTTCTTCTCATCTTTCTGAAGACTATATGAAAGCTGTAGGGTCTGATATACTGTATCTGCTAATTGTTTTATGGCATCAAAGAAATTTTCATTAAAATTCTTGTAATGGAATTTATTAGTGTGACCTCGTTTATCCAGACCAGTTATCTCCGAATGCCTGGATAACTGAAAATCATATATTGAGTAAAGATTACGAGATGATTTATTTGCCATTTTATAATTTGGTACAGTATTTATTTTAACAGATATGTACTAAAAACACCTGTAATGATATTTTAATAGGAATACACCAATCCATATTTAGGGAACTACCGTAATTAAGTTTGTGTCATTTGTTATAAATACGTTACTCTGTGTGTGTGTGTCCTCCACTCCTGAACCTTGTTGAGATTTCACAGATAACGGACGTTAATCCCCGTTAACAGAACATGTTCGAGTTAAATTTCCAGTTCACCACCTCCATTATCTTTATAATCCTAAAAATGGGGATCCAGATAATGACAGTTCCATTATATTTACAAAGGGTCTCATAGTACAGCTGGCGTTGTTCCCATCTTTCAGTCGGGGGGGTGGGGGGGGAACCTGGGTTTGATTCCCAAGCGGTCAACAAATAGTTGGACTCATTTCCTTTCACCTAATTCCTCTGCACCTAATTCCTCTGTTCATCAAACAGTAAATACTGTAGGTACAGTAATGCTATACCTACCTAGTTGGGCTTGCAGGGGTTGAGCTCTGGCTCTTTGGTCTCACCTGAGGGTTTGCATCCTGGGAGGGTCATTAGTTCGACCTTTGGGAGACTTCAAAACAAACCTAAAGGATATACATATATACAGGCTCCCTGTCTCCAACAAAGCAAATTATCATTATTATTATTTATATTTCCTTCCATAAATCAAATAATCATTGGCTGGATGGTTAACTTACATTTATATTGTGTCTTTCATTGAGTATGCACAAGTGCCTGAAATATTGAAATGTAATAAAAGTCTTGGTATAGATCTTGCCACGTGTGTGTGTGTTGAGATACTGTAGCATGTTTTGTACGTCCCTCACAAGTGCTCAAATAGCTATGGCTACTACTAAGATTTCCTTCTACTAAGTTACACATCTTTATATTCTTCATGTAAATGATAATTTATACCATTGGCAACTTCAAATACTCTACTGTATTTTAGATTTTCAAAATGTTTTGGAAATGTTTATATACAGTATAAAATGTCCAGTGTATTTATCCCTTTATATAAATCATAATTACTCCATATAAGCATATACTGTACAAGTATCCCCAAACACTTGACTTCATGGCTGAATAATATAAACATGGATTATGTAATGCCATTGAAATTCTTTATATGATGTACTATACAGTAAAACAAAAAAAATAGTACTCACCCATGGATACTCTTGATATAAATTTACCAAAGTGATCATTATGTCCGAAGTATACATTTACAGCAGCAATATTATGTTGTTAAATAATCAGAATAGGGAGCAATAGTGTAAAACTTCACTGTATTTATTTGGCATCAAGTGCGGTCTTGCCATTTTTAGTCTCGGAATTGTTTTTGTATATGTAGTGAATCTGGTGTCAGTGAGAAATGTTCCCAGTTGGTGGGCTGGAGTTGTTGACATCATAATGTGGTCATATTGCTAATAATGTGTTGAAAGCATGAGGAATAACCTTAGCAATATTTTGGAAATGTATAACTATAAAGGGAAAGAATTCTACTTTATACATCAAAAATGATTTATCCTGTCTGCCTTTTAAATTATGAATTCAAATATAGTATGGTATTATATATCTGGTGGGTTTAGAGTTTTTACTTTGGTAAATATGTCTGAAAATATTCAGGCTGGTAAGTTTATAGCTTGAGTTTAAAAGATTGTAGATTTAGAAGAGGATTAGTTCCTATTTAAATGGGCCCACTGTGAAGTGAAAACAATATTTGTTACTCTAGTTGGTATAGCAAAAATGGGTTTCATGTAATAGAGAATTTGTGACGATACGTGTGACGAAGGTCATGTTGAAGCCTTAAACTAATTTTGGATTCTCTGTATGCTATTTGTCCTTTGGCAGGAATAAGCATTAACCATAATAATACTTTGTATATAGTCACATAAATATCTTTCTTGGTTATGGAAATTGCTTAATAAGCATTTTATATGCAGTATATAGCGTAGTTACGACATCTCTATAGGAATGATAACAGTCAGACTTGTTAGTTTTACTGATAGTCTAAACTGTGCAGTATATCTCCTTGGTGGCTTCATTTCAGTGAC